CACTGTTACCAGAGTGGGGCACAGGAGAGTGGGACCCCAGAAGGGAACTTTCTATGGTTAGGCTTGAGTGACAATTCATCAGAGAGGTAAAGGGAGAAGAGTGTGGTTTCCATGCAGTCCTGATCTATCTTGGGCTCTAGTTAAACTCGGTGAAACTTCTGAGAGAGGAGTCTGGTGGGAAGATGTCACCATGGAGAAAGAAGAGGTACCTTAACTTAGGTCTGGGAACCCCAACTCACTACTACATTACTAAGATAATCCTCCTACATCCTTCTAAAGATATCCTTCAGAACCCTTTGTTAAATTAGCCAAGCACTTCATGGTACCAACATGGAAGACCAGACTTTAAAAGTGTATTGTACTTAAAAATTGAGAGGTCATTACTCGGTTTGATGGCTTCCCAGTGCTCGATGTGCAATAGAGGCTTATTGATTTGATACATTATTGAGGGAATTTTGGGTTACAATTAAAGCTGTATAAGCAGTAACATCACCAATCAAATAAAGCATAAAGGAAGAGCCATTTTTAAAAATAATTGCATTCATTGTTTTGCATAGGTAATAAAAATCACATAGTACAAAATTCCAAAAGCTCAAAAGGATATATGTTGAGACATTTCCCTCTCACCAGTCCCCCCAGTAAAAGGCCACCTTAATAAGCCTGTCACTCCCTGTTGGGATCATGCACTGTCAAGGACTCAAGGTTAAAGACCCTCTGATCTTGAAGATGTATTCACCTAGCTCAAGCCAAGAGATATTGCCCATAACTAGACTCAGTAAAATGGAATTCTCTGCTCAAACTGGAACAGAGTATAGGCTTAAAGCTGTTGCCAACTAAATCCCAGTGGGCCACTGGGACTTTGTGAGGCTCCAGGGATTTTGTATTGCCCTGCTATAGTGCATGTTTGTTAGATACTTTTTTAAATAATTCATTTATATCCTCGATCTGTTCCCTTGCCACACTGGGGTCATCGAGTGTGACTTCTGCATAGTCCTTGATATTCAGTAGCTAAACTAGGATAAATACCCTCACATACACATGGCAACTTGAAGCAGCCCATTTCCCTTCTCTGCCCTTTCATGGACTATGGAACTGAGGCTGCATGGTAAATGGAAAAAAGCATTAGCTAGAATAAAAAGACCTGGAGTTAAGTTCCTGTTTTGACCCTTCGCTGGGCCATGTGACCCTGGCCTCTCTCTGACTTCATCTGTGAGACAGCGATTAATATGCTCTGCCTAATCAAAAAGCCAGTGCAAAGAGCAAGTGAGTATGAGGAAATACCTTTCAAAATGAGTTCTTCCTGCACTAAATGGACAAAGAAGAACAGAATGGTCAAGAATGGAGGTGCCCAAATCAGTAGCTCTCCAAAAACTTTTTTACCCTCCCATCAGTAGAAGAAATTGTCACTACCAATCTGAACAGAGCTGGCTCCCTTCTTTAGCTAGAGAAAACTGTGGTTCTCCTACTGAATCCCTGAACAGGCCCACTGTGGGCAAGCACCTCCCCTCATTGTCTAAAATGGAATTCTGAAAGTGATTATTTAATTGCGCACATGCTCTCACATGTCCCACTCTCACTGTTCCACCTGTTGGGGAAATGTTCCTACAGAGGAATTTTGAATCTACTTCCTCTGTTTGTGCCTATGTCGGACTCCATCATGTGGCCTCCCCTCCATGGACTGGAAACAAGCACCTAGGATGCTAAGAACGAACGAAGTATTCTAAAGCTAAAGCCGACAGATCAATACCCCCGCCTCACTCTTGGGGTGGAGAGGGCCCACGCCCGGTGGTTAGCTTCGGGCCCTGACCGCGGGCACCCTCTGGTGGCAGCAGGACACAACTGCATCACCGCGAGAGCGGAGTACTGCAGCGCCCCCTGGCGTTAGTCCAGCAGATTCGCCGAGGGCAACGGAAGAGGACCAGGTGAGCCGTCCAAGGGCGAGCGCGCTTGGCGCTGCTGGGCACTTTATTGTGAGTGCTCTGGTTTGGCGGGAGGATTGTACACGAGAGTGTTAAAGTCTAGCACGCATGCGTGTAGGTTCACATGTTTGTGTCCAGGTATTTGAACCCTGTGTATCTGTTTTATATTAAATGTGTGCCGTTAGGTTTGTGTGTGCACACGTTACACGCGGTATGGTTGGTGGTGGGGAGGTCCGCGCCTCCAGTGCAGGGTGGAGTCCTCACGGAGGCGTGAAATTGGTTTGGAGCAAACACATTACGGAAAGCAATTACCGGGGAGAGGTTCTGGGCCCGTGGGACCCGCAGCCAGAGGGTTGGGGAGGAAGCTCCCTAACTTGCAAGAGTGGCTGGATGTCTAGCCCCAGAAAAGACCTTCCTAACACCAAAGGGAGAATGTGTGATGTTGGGCAGCAGGCTCTCATATTGTCCACTCCACACTGCCTTTCTTCCCTTAGCCACTCCCTCATTAAAAAGGCAGCCTGCAGAGGCTCCAATACTCTTTAGAAAGGGTTAGAAATCCTTCCCACTCCTTATCACTTTGGGAGAGGTGCTCCCCTTCTGTGAAGTCTTTCCAGGTCCCTACCCCTGTTGTTCGAACTCCTCCCCGTGCCCTCAGCCTGTGCTCCCCCATGTCTTTTGCATTCACTTCATTGCCTCTTGCATTTGAATTAGTCACACACTTATTTCCCAGACTAGATGGAAAATTAACTGAGGGCAGGCACCGGTCTCATTCACAAGGCTTATCTAGCCTGAAACTTGGGACTCCAGAAGCACAAAATGAGTAACATGGATGGGATTAAATAGAATTTCCATCCAAATACACACACAGGACTCTCTTCCGAAAGTCAGTCCCTTGAGAATCAGGATTCTTTTATAACACAGTTTTAAGTATTTTCACATGCCAGTGATCCCACATATATGTCCCCAGACCTGTCCTCATCCCCGAATTCAATTCACAGATCCAAATGACCTTGTAACACACCCTTTTAAGAGGTCTAATAGGCAGCTCCAACTCAGTAGCTCCCAAACTGACCTTCTGATCCCCCACCTGCCCCTTTCCCCACCTTAGTAATCTGCACCACCATCCATCCACTTTTCAACCTAAACACTGGCAGTCATCCTGGATTATTCTTTCCTTCAGCTCCCACACCCACTTCGTCAGTGAGTCTCACCAAGTCTCCAAAAAACGGTCCCAAGTCTCACCTACTGCTTCACCCTCTCTGCCCAGACTTGTGTAGTAGCCTCCTAATGGCCTCAGATTCTTCCTCCTACCCCTCCCCCAAGCCACTCAGCAACAGTTTTAAAACCTAAATCAGTTCCTATCACTCCCCTCCCTGTTCTTCCCCACTCCTCAGAGGGCTGGCTCCTCGTCACTCAGGCCTCAGGTTAAATGTCACCTCCTCAAAGAGGAGGCTCCCTGTCACCATCACTGCCAGTCACCGCTTGAATTCCTATAGAGGGCTTATCACTCTGATCCTTCCCCGTTGCTTTACTCAAGGTCTCCCTCCCCACTAGAAAGTATCTTATGGTGAAGAACCAGGCCTTGGCATGCCCGGCACTGACCACAGGAGGTATTAGAACCCTTGCTCAACAAGCGAATGGACAACGGGGGTTCCCCCTGGAACCCCAGCTGGGACAGGAAGGTGGTCTCCGGGAGAGGCCCAGACAGTGGGTAGAACTCCCGCGGGGTCAGGCCTCTCGGAAACCGATTCCCGGCCCCGCCCCTAGTCACCTGTGCCCACTCCCCCCACCCCCCTGCCGCCCCGTGAGCCTCTGGGGTCTGGACGGGACTGGAGACTCCACAGTGGCGGAGCCAGGCCTCAGTTGGCCCCGACCGATTGTCGGCCTGGCCTCCAGGCACAGGCCTTCCCATTGGGTGGTCCCTAGTTCTTGCGCCGCAACCCACACTTGGAAGCCCACCCAAAGCCCTGGAGGCCTGGTGCAAACCCGCACCCACTCACCTCCGCCCGGCTTCTGCTCTGCGGCTCTTTGGACGCTCTCCCGAGCTTCGTGTTCTCCCAGCCGCGCCCCCGCCGCCTCGCGCCCTCCAGGCCCCGCCTTCGCCGCCTGGCTCCCAGCAATCGGCGGGAAAGTCCTGAGCTCCAGCGCGTGCGCACTCCCAGGCCCTGGGAACCCTGCCCAGCTACCCTTGACGTCATGGATTACAGTACACTTGATTGGTTGTTCTGCAGCTCTGGTCAATTCCACCTCCCTCCTGTGGTTGCAGGTTCGCTCCTGGATGCTAGGGCCTCCTGTGAATTCTTAAAATCCTGGTACTACAAAGACCCTCAGGGACTCCCTCTCTTGTTTTACAGATGCAGAAACTTGAGCCCAGGGAAGGGAAGAGACTTATGTTCCATAACTTACTGGCAGAGCTAACACTGGAGCCCAGACATGTAACTCTCAGCTCAGCTCCTGCTGCAGCAAAGCTAAATTGAAGGAAGGAGCAGATAAAGAGAGGCAGCAACTAAGTGTGAATCTGGTGCTGACTTAGAGGACAAGCAGTATAACTGCTTTTGTTCTAAACTGGAGTCTTTCTCTCTCATCTGAACCATGCTTACGTACCTATGCACCACCTTCCCGTTGGCCTTCCTGGTCCTCACCTCTCCTCCCTACCCCACTGCTGCCTTTACTGTCCTGCCCCACTGTCTGCACTGCCTCATTCCTGCAGTGGCTCTTCCCCATTCAAGCCTCCCCCATCCTCTGGCTGGCTGTCCTTTAAAGGCCTTTTCTGACACTATCTCACCTACTGGCCATTCTTCCACATCATGGGCCAGAGAGGCAGGTCTGCCTAGGATCCCCTCAACAGCTGGTGGATTCCAAAGGGGAAAGGAAGATGCTGTTGGTACGGTGGGGCAAATCCAGGGAGATCATGTACGTCTGCCTACCCTGAGTTGTAACAGTGCAGACAAATGAGTGTTGGAGACAGCACCAAACAGGCCTGGAGATTTTTAATGTTTGCATGGGCTGGAAGGGGGCCCCAAGAGGAGTGTATCACTTGCCGTGAGTCCCGCCCTCTCTCCATCAGCCATCACCTGACTGTGTGGTCCATTGGCCTCTCCCTGGTGGGAATGGCAGCATCCATGTCTGCCTGTGGGGTTGGGTCTCCTGCCGAGAGGACCGCCTCAGCCTGAGTCCTGGATTGGGGCACTGTGAGAAGCGGGCTGGTGTCCTTGGCCTGGAGCTTTCTCAAAAGGTACTGGACATCTGGAAGGAGAGGTGTGCATTCAGAGAGGCCCAGTGGTCCAGGAGTCTGGCTCCTTTGGCCAGGCCATGCCCCCTACTCTTTTGCTTCTTCCCTGTCACCCCCCACAAATGGTTGGGACTGTCCACAGAACCCAAGACTTACCTAGTAGAGCACATCCTCGAAATCCAGCTGCAGGTAGCGGATCAGGCGGGGTGGCAGGGGAAGGCGGGGCAGGGCCTGGGGCAGGCAGGCTGCCAGGTGAGTGCGGAGCGCACAGCGGGTCAGATGCTGCAGCGACCTGGGCTGCCTCACCAAGGCGAAGAGAGATGAATAGAAACGGTGGTGCTTCTGGGGACAGAAGGAAGGCTCAGCGAGGGAGGCTTGGACAAGTGGTACCTACTCCTCCTAAAGTGGGGAGGCTGGTGGCCAGCAGGTGTCTACAAGGAGCCTCTAGAAGCAGTGAGTGTTTTGGGTGTTCACTTTGTGAGTTTTCTTCTTCTGGGACATGAACGGGTCTCTGGGTATTTCTGTGGAGCAGAGCTGGGGGATCTATAGGCTTCCCTTTAGGAGGTGGGAATCTCTTTGGGCCAGGTTGAGTGATTGCATGTTCAGCATCCTGGAATCTGACCTGCAGAGTTTCAGGAGGCACCAGGGCCATGGCCTCCTCGGGAAGCTGCATGACACTGTAGGTGTTCATCAGGACCTCGATGGTCCTCGGAGACATGTACCAGCGCTCAAGTACCTGCAGGAGACAGAGATGCATCAGTGCGCCCTAGATTGCCACCCGCCGAGGGTGCCCAGTCAGCCCACACAGGATGACCAGAGCAGATGGGACAGCTATTGGGGGTTGGACAGTGTCCCCCAAAAAGATGTGTTGAAGTCCAATTTCCAGTACCTGACAATGTGACCTATTTAGAAATCAGGTCTTTGCAGATGTGATCAAGTTAAAATGAGGCCATTAGAGAGGGATTCAAAGAGAAGGGACAAGGCCAGTGGAGGCTCAACAGAAGAGTGTGGGTGGGATCAAGTTGGAGTCAGATTTATTCTTTCATTTCTTCATTTAGCGAATTTTTACTCAGGGCCACCGTGGGTACCCAGCAGTGAGGAGGATAGACAGGGAGCGTCTACTTCAGAGGGAAAATGCAATGAACACATAAAGAACAGTTATGCCACTGCAAGGAAGAATAAGTGCGCTCAGGGGCTGAGCATGGTAGAAGGGCACTGTCTGAGAGGGGTGGTCAATATTGGCCTTTCTGAGGAGGTGGCCTGATGCAGGGAGGGGTGAGGCATGCCAGGGGAGCAGCCTGAGCCGGGAAGCTGCCCACAAGGGCAGAAAGGCAGTCATGCTTGGCCTAAATGCACACAGGCCCCATCATACCCACTCATGTCTGCACGTAATAGCTATAAGCAAATTTGCGCTTCACCCACTCCATCTCTTGCTGTATCTCAAGCTACAGGCATTAGCCACAGGCCCTTTAGAAAAACTGAGAACAGCTAAGTACTGTCTCCCAAGCAGCACTGCCATATATAACCTCTCCTTCCACAGCCCACACACACTTGCATATAACTTAGAGGCTTTAACACCCCTGCCTAAAGGAGAGGAGACCCATCTGCCTGGCAGGCTGGGAGGGCAGCCATGTGCTGGGCACTGCAAGGTAGTCAGAGCAGGGAAGGCCTTGTCCAGGGAACATGGCCCCTGGAGAAAGCATCTCACACACCTGAGGCCCTCTGCTCCTGGGCAGGGCTTACCAGAGTAACCCAGCCCATCTGCCCAGAGCAGCCCTCTTTGCCTCACTCCTAGAACTAGGAAAGAACAGACGGGTTACATTCTTGCTCTGATATTCTTGCTCTGACCTGCTGTTCCTGTTTGATGTTCAGGCCAGTCTCTCTGTCCTACCCAGCCCATGTTGATTCCTGTCTCTGCCTCTGCACTCTGCCTGGAATGCCTGCTCCTTCCTCCCCTGTCTCTGCCAGCCCTGCCCACCCACAAGTCCCCTCCCCTCCAGAAAGCTTCCTGCAGCTATTCCAACCTGCACCTTTGTCTCCCTTGCTAATGATACCCTGCATGGGGTGATGCCCAACAGCCCTCCCAGTGCTTTCACATACATTGGTTAACTTTGGAACAACACTAGATAACAGGTTTTGAGCCCTAACTCTATCTAGGTGAGGCCCTGTCCAAGGGGCATTTATTTATGTACTCACTTAGTTCTCATACTAGCCTACGAAGCAGCCATACTGGCATATCCTATTTTACAGATGAGCAAACTGAGGCCGAGAGATTAAGCAGTTGGCTGAGGGTTGCACAGGCAGTGACTCTGGCCCCAGAGCCTGCACTCTTAGTTGCCACCTACTTCAGAGGTTGTTGGGCAGACCAGGGACACCCACACAGCAGGTAGCACACCTTAGGCCAGGGTCTGGTGTGTGTCCATGCTGTGCTTGCTCCTCCTGTTGTCCACTGTGCTCCTACAGCCCAGTCTCTCTGAGGTCAAGACTGTATCTCATGCACGAAACATGGGTTCAGAGCATCCCAGTGACTTGCCTGTGTTCACAGGAACAAGCATCAAGGTCAGACCCTGGCTCCAGGTCTCCTGAGTGCCCAGTCCAGCATGGTGGCTGGGGCTGGCAGCGATCAGATGGCCATGGAGGCCTCCTTGTAGGGAGGAGGTCCTTGTGGAGGTCAGGAACCCCAGCCAAGCCTGGAGCAGCTGCAGATGGTGGGAGGTGGATGCAGAACTACCTCCTGCACTTTTTGATCACCTGGGACGTGTTGCCCAGAGAAGGGACCAATGGGGGAACTTCCTTTGGTCCCCAAGGCAGGGCAGAAGGGCAGGCAGTGGGGTCCCAGGAAATCCGTTTGCTGTTCTGCCTTCTCCTCCCAGCCCCCCCCGAAGGGAAAATCATTAGCTGTCAGAGCCACCATCAGATTACAGGGAATTGCTGTCTCCTAATTATCTGGTGTTAATAGGAGATTAATTAGTGTTAATTGTTGATTTTCTTGTATTTTCCCAAAGGGGAGACCAATCTGCCGAACTCTCGGGCTGTTTAATTATTTGGTCTTGCTTAGGAATCTAGACAGATGCTTCTAGGTTTGTGAGTAAAGGAGAGAGATGTAAGGATGGCAGAGAGCATCCAGGATGGAGGGGGGCTGGGCCATTCAAGGCTGGAGGCAGGGCAGTGGGGACCTGCCCACATCCTGCTGCCCTGTATCCCTCCTGGACTAGCTCCTCGGAGAATAGGGGACCCCACCCCAGGCCCTGTGCCCTCCATGACATTATATAGCCCCCTCCAGATACAACATAGCCTGAGACAGGGCTCCTGGCATCATTAGCACAGGTCTTTACATTGAACCTATGTTGGGGGATATCAACCTAAAATAAGATATAGATTAGAAATTGACAGTGAGAGATGTTTTCTCGGGTGCCCAGACAGTGGCTGCTGGTCTGCGTGAAGAATGGCCCCCTAAGCTCTGAGAAACAAGGACCTCGTCCATCTGCAGAAGGTCAGGAAGCCTTGAACCTCATGACCTGGGCTCCTGGCTCTGTCCTGAAGGCGTCCTGAGGGATCTGTCCTGCCTGGAGTGTCTCACTGAATGGGTCCCACGGCCAGGCACAGCTTCCTAAATGCTCCTTTATCAGCTCATTCGCCTGATGAAGAAACTACTGCCTGCTCCCCGAATCAATCTGGGCTCCTCCTGTCTTTGTAGATCCTCTGTAATCTGGCCTATCTCCCACAATCCACCTTCATCACATGTACACATACACACATGCATGCACATGCACACCCCTCCTGCTGCTCCGTGTCCTCACCTCACGTTGCCTTCTGCTGGGGTCTGCTTACTTGATGAATGAAAGACAAAGAACTGGCCTATGTGCCAAGGGCGTCCAGAGCAGTGGGAGTACAGGTCGGGGCCTCCCCATCCCTTCATCGCTGTGACCCTCCCTCTGGCCACAGCCCCGTACCTTGGGAAGTGCCCCAGGCCAGACTCGGACAGCTCCGTGGTTGAGCAGAGCCCGCACTGCATGCTCTGGGCTTTGAGCCAAGGCTGCAGGGGGCCCCTGTAGAGCACAGTGCAGGGCTGTGTGTCCCCCATAGTCCATGGCATTGGCGCTGACCCCACAGGACAGGAGCAGCTCCACGACAGCCGCGTGGCCACGACGACAGGCCAAGTGTAGGGGCCGCTGCTTGTCCTGGTCAGCAGCGTCAGCATCAGCTCCAGCTGAGAGCAGCAAGTGGCACAGCTGGAGGCAGCAGGTGGTGGTGGCCTCTGCGTCAGCGGGGGACGTGCAGCGGGCATCACAGGCAGCCAGCAATGGGGTCCGGCCTTCAACGTCACGGGCATTGGGGCATGCTCCCCGCTTTAAAAGTAGGTCTGCCAGCTCCACCTGGCCCAGCCGGGCAGCTACGTGCAAAGGGGTTTCTTCTTCCTCCTCAGACCGGCCATCCACTTTTGCTCCAAACCTCAGGAGCAGTTCCACACACCTAGTAAGGGCAAGGGGGACGGGAGGAAAATGGGGTGCAGGCCTTCACCCTGCATTCTTGTCTAAGCAAAGCAAACCTGGGGCAGCCTTGGGGGACTGCTGGTTCTGCCTGCCCCTCACCTTCCATCCTGGGTGTCACTAGTCAGCAACAGGATCAACAGTGCCCTCTTTTCAAGTCCACATACTCTGCAGAAATAATGCAGTAAACCCTCCATGGGAGCAGCCATTTCACAGTTAGAAGAGGCGCGTTCTGAGTTTACATGTGCTGACTGGCTCCGTCCTCACAGCATCCCTGCAGTCGGTTCAGAGGCGGAAACTGTGGCCCTGAGGTGTGAGGTTCTCATCTAAGTTCACACAGCTAGGTGGGGAGGAGCTGGCCTTGGGTCCAGGGTCCACAGGGCTGGTAGGGGGCTCTGTTTGCTGGGACTGGGCAAGGAAGTGGGGACTGGGACTTGCCAGTGGCACGGGTGGAAAATGGGGGCAGGGGGAGAAGGAACAACAAAACCAAGATGGGTCTCACCAAAGGTTGTGTGCGCCTGCAACAGGGTGTGCACCAAAATTTAAGGTTGAGGAAACTTAGCCTCTTTGAACTCTAGTTTCCTCATCTGTAGAATGGGGATCATTGCTAATATCTAGCCCTAATGAGGCTGTCGTGAGCTGCATGTGAGACGATGCCTGAAAAGGTGTTAGCATAAGAGCTAGTAATGGCAACATTTGGCAGGAGGAGTGGGTGGTAGACTCTAGATGATGGTGGATCACAGGGACCCATTATATTATCCTGCCCACCTTTCTATATGTTTGAAATCCTCCATAATAATTTAAACACTACATCTGTTTACTCAATGAAGGAAGGAATGATTATCACTGAGTGTGATCTCCAGGAGGAAGGGCTTGAGCCAGAACTAAAAATGTGGGATTGCATAGTACTTTATTGCCCAATCAGTAGCCACTAGCTACATGTAGCCACTGGGCACTTGCAAGATAGCTAGTCCTAACAGAGACATATTGTAAGTGTAAAATATACACCAATTTTGAAGACTTTACAGAAAAAGGATGTAAGATATCTCATTTGTTTTTATGCTGATTACATGTTGAAATGTAATAACATGTTGGATATATTGTGTTAAATAAAATATATTATTAAAATTAATTTCACCCATTTCACAGATATTTGTACACCCATGTTCATATCAACACTGTATATAATAGCCAAATGTGGAGGTAATCTAAGTGTTCATCAGATGAACAGATGAATGAAATGTAACGTCTATACACAATGGAATATTATTCAGCTTTTAAAAAGCAGGGAAATTCTGGCAACATATGCTATAGCGTGGATGAACCCTATGGACATTGGGCTAAGTGAGATAAGCCTGTCTCAGAAGGACAAATGTTGTGTGATTCCACGCACATGAAATATCTAGGGTAGTCAAATTCAAAGAGGCTGAAAGTAGAATGGTGGCTGCTACTCCCTGTGGGGAGAGAGGAATGGGAAGTTATACTGTTCCATGGGCACAGAATTTCAGGTTTTGAAGATCTAAAAACTTCAGGAGGTGGATAATAGTGATGGATGATGGATGTACGACAATGTGAATGTACTTTGTGCCACTGAACTGTGCACTTAGAAATAATAAATTTTATGTGTATTCTACCACAATTAAAAAAATTAAATTCACCTCTTTTTCATTTTTTGTTAGGGCTACTAGAAAAATTGAACTTATACACATGGCTCACATTCTTTTGGACTACAAGCTGATGTAGACCACATCTCCAAGCACAATATTATAAGTCAGTGGAGTCTACTGAAGACTGAGGAGGTTAACAAGATAGAGAAGGTCTATGAATGGGAGACCCAAGGATCAAAAATTTGGCACCATTCAGAGGCAAGTTGTGAAATTCGGCAGGTGCGCAATCGATAAAGGGGTGGCCTCCTACGTATATCCAGTTGGTTTATAGATTTGCCAAGGCTCCTTTTGCTGGGATTTCATGCTTATAAAAAAACTGAGTGAGGACTCATCCTCTAAGGTTTCCTACACATAGGGCATCATTATTTGTGTCATTGTAAAGGAATATTTTCTACAGTAAATGATACATCGTCACATTTGGGTCTATCTATCAGTTTCTTGTGAGTTTGGTTAGCTGAGTTCAGTCCCTGAACCCATTTATCTGAGGATACCCGCCAATATGGAAATGCCGAACCTGCCAAGGTGAAACCAGACCGTGTCCATGGGGACCACTGCAGGCCCTATTTGGGGGCCACTGTTCTACTTCCTGTCTGGATCACTGTACAGTCAGCTCCCTGAGGGAAAGATCTTGCTTTAGTTACTGTTACACTTGGCACAGTCCCTGGAACATAGGATAAGCTGAGAAAATTTAAAACTTTCCTGTACACTACCTCCCCATAATGGAGCCAGACAACTTCCCCAATGTAGGCCATGCAGCTGTGGCCGGCCACAGCCCGCCTCCACCCCTAGGGAAGCAGAAACCATCCCAAGTACAGGCCATTCTGAAGTTCAAGAGACAAATAGTAGGACGGTTTGGGGAGTAACTGCATCCTGACTCCCCACCTGAGCCATGACTCCTCCATCCCATCTCACCAAGGCTGCCACGGCAAGCTCCCCCATCCTCCCCGAGGCCATCTCTTTGCCTCCTAGAAGAGTAAGATGGGGTGGGGGCGGGGGGGTCACTCACTCAAGGGTTCCAGCCCCCCGGCAGAGGTGCAAGGGGCGTTTCCCATCCTGGTCAGGGATGTTGGGGTCAGCTCCTGCCACCAGCAGTGCATGGGCACAGGCAGCATGGCCCACAGCACAGGCCTCATGCAGGGCAGTGCGGCCCCCGGGGGCACTGTCGGGCCTTGCCCGTCGTCTCAGCAGCAGCTGCAGAACGTCCGTGTGGCCCCGGCTGGCTGCCACGTGCAATGGGGTGGTCAGCTCCTCTTCATACGTCAGAGACCAGAGCCCTAGGGAGAGAAGGGACATGGGTCTCAGGCCTTGGAGGAGACGAAGAGCTGCCAGGAAATGAGGGAGGTGGCCAGAAGCTGGGAAGAGGGAGCCCAGAGCTCCGACCCCAGCCCCTCCTCTCCCGCTCATACCCCCCCAGTGCCCCTGTCCCGTACTCAGGGCACGTATGTTGAAGCGGAAATCCCTCCATTGCTCTGGGTCGCTGGTATCAAAGATGGAATCTGGACGCAAGCCGGTGCTGGAGTCGGCGAGGATGCGGGAGACAGAGCCCACGTCCCCGGCCAGCACTGCCTGCCAGAAGGCCAGGGCAGGTCCAGAGGCTGTGCGGGTGACAATGGGTCCTGGGCCAGACTCTGGGCGCTCTGCAGACTCTCCGCTGGGCTTCTCCACCAGCCTGGCACAGAGGGTGTGTCTGTCACCAGGGGGTTCTCCATGCCCCCTGCAATCTTCTGGGGACCAGCTCATGTAGGCAGAGTGTGAGCATGTGGGGAGGCACGTAGGGGCAAAAAGGTAAGGGCCAAAGGCAGAGAGAGGGAAAAGAGGGGAAAACATGGACAGATGAAGGAAGACGGTCTCTGTGTCCGTGAGCCGAGCCTGACCTGGCCACATGGTTCAGCAGGAGCTATTCTGGGCTCCACATGACTTCACTCCTGGGCCAAAGCTTAGGCAAGCCTAAGGGAGGGGGAGAAACAGCTAGGGGCTTCTCTTTTTCTTAAGTGCTTGGTGCCTCTGTGCCTGATGTGGTCAGCCCAGGCTCTGTGTCCTCAGCCCCTCTGCACATGCCCCCTCCTTACCCCTCTGGTGGCTGGTCCAGCGAGGCTCCGCAGCCTGGCACTCCAGCAGCAGGTCGGCTGTGCTGCCCGGGGGGAACAGCTCCCGTAACCTCGCCAGGTCTCCAGTGTACAGAGCATTCTGTAGGGCCATGTCACGGCACAGCAGTGGCAATGGCCGAGGGGGCTCCCAGGCTTCATAGGACTGGGGCCCCCAGAGCCGGCAGGCCGGGGCTGAGGGGAAGCGTCTCAGATGGTGTCCCCAGTGGGGAGGGGAACTCCTTCTCCCAGGCATTGTCAGTTTCGGGGAGAGACAGCCAAAGAAGCGGGACTCAGGGCAATGCTGCTGGCAGACTGGGTAGGCGGGTGCTGGGCAGAGGCCCAGTGCAGGAGGGGCAGGGCCCCAGGCCACACCATAAACAGCCACGCTATCCTAGCTGTCAGTCCCAGGGAAGTAGGCTCTGGCTGGGAGTGGGCATTAGGGAGAAGGGGGAAATAGAGTGAGGATGGACCCCCCACCCCTGAGTCTCACCCTGATGCTGAACAACATCGAGGTTGACAGAGACCACCAGATCATGCTATCCAGTCTGCAATTTCATGGGTAAAGGAAAATGGGAACCCAGAGGTGGGAAAGAATTTGCCCAAAGTGTGACAACTTGTTGCACAGACCGGACTAGAATGGGGTGGGGGCACGGAGCCCCCAAGCTGCCCTTTTCACACCCTTTTTTGTCTGTCATGTGCTCCAGGGAGCCAGCTGCCAGCAGCCTAGGCTCTGATCTCAGAAGGAAGGCATGGGAGTTCAGATCATTTTTCTTGCCCTCCAAATGTCACCAATTATGCCTGTACCTTCCCCCTCCCAAATCCAAAGGAGGGGTTCACAGTAGTGACAAATGGCAGAGAACACCCCACTCATGAGGCGTGCCTTCTGGGGTTCTGGGAGACAGACTCTGCCCGGGAGAAACAGGCAGAGCGGGTGCTGACCACCCATCTCCCAGAGGATCCCTGGATGTCCCAGGGCCTCTCTACCTGCCCCAGGCTAGAGGAGGTCTCAGCTGGAGAGTGAGAAGAAGTGGCTCTCCCCACACAGCCACATTAGGATAATGAGATTACTTTCATTGCGGAAAGAAAAAGGGAAGATGGAGAAAGAAGACTGGACACCCAGCCCCTGGGCTCAGCTGAACCCCCACTGCCCACCAGGGGCTCTGGGCTGGCTGCAGCCCCAGAGGTCTCACCTGTCTGGCTCTCACTGGCCTTTACAACCTGTGGAATACACCTTGACCCTCATTCATGCTCTTTATGTTGCTTCCTCTGAGAGAACCCTGGAGCTCCCAGCCTTCAGTGGCATGGCTGTGCCCTACTCCCCACGTTCCCACTCCAGCCCCCTCAGCTCTTCTCTCCAGCCAGGGGGACCCACAGATGGACTTCCACCCTGGGGCAGAATGCTGTGTCCTATTCAGCCCCCTCAGAGACAAGCCCTCAGGCTCTGACCCTCTGGGACAGAGGGAGGAGTATAGAGCTTGGGCAGGTGAGGGGAGTGGGGGGTGTCTGCAGAGGAAGGAGTTGAAAGCCGTTCAGAGAAGGGGCTGGGTCTGCCAGCAGCTCTGCTGCTTGCCACAGATACCTCCCCGTCTCCGTCCCCGTGCCCGTCCCCCAGGGACCCATTCTCCGTCCTACCCGGCTCAAGGGCCCCACCTCCCTGACTTCCCAGACTCCTTTGTGGGAATAGTCAAACCCTAGAGTACAAGGCCTTGGAGATGGGCTGGTCCAACCTGTTCTCATTTTACAGGTAAGGAAACCAAGGCCCAGAGGCAGGAAAGGACCATGCAAGGTCACAAGGGAGGTAGTGCCGCCCAAGGCTGACCAGGGTCTCCTGGCCTCCGGACTCTTGCTTTTTAGTTCTCCTGTACTTATTGTAGACCTCCTCCCTTCTCTTTCCTTCTCTCCTTCTCTTCCTCTTTTACTCCCTTAAAAACCTTGAGGAGGAAGAGAGCTGGGGAGCCAGGACAGGGAAAATGACAAGAGGGAAAGAACTAGCGGGGTCGGAGGACAGGGATCTGGAGCCAGAGTGGAGTGGCTGGGAGCGGGTGAGGGCCAGGAAGGCATAGGGTGCCAAGGGGATGCTGGGTGCAGCAGAGGACACAGAAGAAGGGGCAGGAAGCAGAGAGAGGACACGAGATCTGGTCCCCAAGCTGTCTGGGCATTTTATGCCTCGGGCCCGCGGTCCCACCCTTAAGCTCTGGACCCCTGGCCTCCGCCATCACTTCCTTTCTTCTTCTCCTTTGCCAGCTTGGCTTCCTCGGCGTCCGGTCCTTGATAAGTTCCATCCTCTTCCTGCCCAGTGGGGTCTTGGAGCACCAGTCCTGGGTCGGGGAGCAGGAGGAGGGGTAGGTGCATGGTCCCGGCCCTGGGCTCCACCTCCTGGCCTCACCCTCCCCTCGTCACAGATTTGTGTCCTCAGCATCCTTCTCTCCTTTCCTCCTGGGCTAGGTGTCCTGCTGGAGCCGGGGTTCCCCTTGCCCCCCACCAAACATTCCAGGCCCCAGTGTCAGCCGTCATCGGGGGCAAGGCCTCTCTCCTGTGCTCCCGTGGCCAGCCTGCCTCCCCTGGGATACTGGTGGTCCTGACTCAGGTGGGGAAAGAATGGCAGCCGGTGCCAGAACCAAGTAAGGGCTCCTGATAGGCAGGTGACACTTTTAGGCTCCCACCCGCAGGGAAACCAGGTGCGACCATCCTGCCACATGCCTTCTCTGTGATTTCTCGGCCTCTTCCCAACTGAGCACGTGGGCTTGTAGGGAAGGGGGCCAAGGGGTGCTGTGGGCCTGGACTTCAAAGCCCAACTCTCTGGCTAGTGCTGACCCACATACTCCCTCCCGGCACTGCCCCCACCCCAAGCCTCACCGTCAGGGACTCCCCCTCCTCCCTGTGCACCGGCTCCAGCTTTGCCAGGTGCCCCAGGAACTCGGAGGCCACTAGGGGCCGCCTGTGCAACTCCAGGAGCCGCCGCTCAGTCAGCACGGATTGGATGGCTTGGAGAATGTGACCAGGTGTGTAGCCGTCAGACACCTTGGCCAGGGCACTGATATCCAGCCTCTGGGTCACCTGGGCTCCCTGGGCCTCTATCATATGCTTCCAGAGCACTGCAGACATGGGTAGAAGACGCAGGGCAGGGAGAGGCAGTGGGCTCAGGGCCTCCGCATATCTGGAACGAACCCTGTGCTTCTTCTGGAGGGTGGCTCTGGGCCCATTAGTGCCTCTCCCCCCACGAAGGTAATGTCCCCACTCAACATAACAAAATGAGACTATGAGGATTTAAACCACCTGCCCGTGTTTGCAGAGTCAGGCCAGAATCCAGGCCACTGGGCTGTGTGTCTAGTGGCCTTTGCAGAACACTTGGCCGTGGATGTGAGGGTCAGAACAACAGTGGGGGAATGGGACAAACGGTGGGGAGGCTTTGGCAGGGATGGTTTCCGGACCCTTCTCTGGCCTATGCACACATCCCCAGGCCTCACCATAGTGAGAGGCATAATCAGGCCGCGGCATGAAGAGGATCCGCTCATAGGTCTGGCACAGCCCCTTCATGTCGGCCAGCTGCGGCCGGTCAGTTGTCCCTATCAGCATCACGCGGTCTCCAGGATTCAGCAGTCGCAGAGCCTTCATGAGGTCCTTCCTTATTCGCTTTGGGTCCATCTGCTCCGGGAAGGGAGGGTGGTGGAGTCGGAACATGGTGACCTCCCATTTGGGCTTCCAAGTTTGCAGAAACGTTCCCACCCACGCTCAGCCCCACATGGACCTGAGATGCAGACAGGAGAGACCATTGTCCTCCTTTAAGGACAAGGACATAAGGTGGGAGAAGGAGAGGGGTGTGTCCAAGTCTACACAGTGGCTGTGCTTTGGAGTGACAAGCCCAAGCCTGCCACGCTGGCCCATGGCATGTGCTACCTGCCCAGGCCCCCTCACCTCCTCCTCCTCTTATAGAAATTCTTCTCAGCATTCCCGATCCAGATTACAGAGGGCTGCAGGAGTTGAGCCACCTGGACAGGTCGGAGAATAGAAACCCAGTGTTAGACATCCCTGGGCAAGAGTCACCTCCCGATCTAATCCAGCCCAGGGTCAGCACCAGCCTCAGGCAATGGTGGACCTCAGAGCTCCAGCCTCCACTTCCCACATCCTGCCAAACCCACCTCCCAGCCCTTTGCACACCCATCACACCTCAGTGTGAACAGGGTCCTTGTCCTCCTTGGGTGCGGGGCTGCATGTTAAGCCTCATCTTTACAATGAAAAACAACTGCTCTACTCTCCACTTCCCCCACCCCCTGGACCTTCCGGGACTTCAGGTTGCCCCAAGCTCTTAGCAGCTTCCCAGCTCCTGAAATCACACCAAATAGGCAGAAGGTGTGATTAGCATACAGCCCACCCCGCTCTGTTGTCACAGTCTGAGAACTAGAAATGCCAAGTCAGGGGACCAGACCTTGAAGACTATATGCACCACCATCTGTGCCCCAGCTCTGCCGGAGTATTTGCCCTGCAGGTTGCCAGGTGACAGGTCAAACAGGTTGGCACCTGTCTCTGTACACACAGCCTTGACCAGCATCTTCTTGCCCATGCCGGAGGGGCCCACAAGGAGGATGGAGCGGATGAGGGGAGCCATGGAGTGTATATCTGGGGAGCCTAAGAGAGGAAACAGGGGCCAGAGGCAGGCATGGGCCAGCAGGGGGCTGGAGGTGGAGCCACTGTGTAAGGTGAGCCCAAAGGCTGGGGCAGGGCGGGATGAGGTTCAGATCCTGGCTGCCTTCCCCCCACCCCCGCATCTGAGGCACGCCCACCCCAGCCCCCAGTGCTGAAAGGGCAGCCCAGAGGACTTGGCAGTCATGATTATGATCACAAAGCAAAGTTATATGTGTGTCAGGAAGGAACCCTCTACCCCATCTGATGCCCTGTTTTCCATACCATCTGATTCCACTCCTGGGTTATACAGGGTGGAGTTAAAGGGCATGTGACCAACAGATCCAGAAAGATCCAGTCTCTGGTGTTTATAGGGGTTGTGGGGCTGGTCCAGGTATGGGACAGACTATAAGATATCACTTGGGATTTTGTAAGGGGCTCCTCAATAAGTCAAGAGCCCGCATGACATTTGGGGTGGCCCAATCTGGGTGTGACTTCCAGCAGGGCCTAGGGAAGGCAGGAGGGGTCTCACCCATGGCACCCAACGTTGGAGGCCCAGGCTGGACATACCCACCTCAGCCACCTGACCCTGCACCCAGGTTTCCCCAGGAGCCACACACCCAGCACCGGCTCTTCCCTGTTCCCAGGGCCTCTCACCAAGTCGGAGGACCCCATACAAGGCCATGTTTTGTCGTATGTCAAACAGGGAAGGCATAGGCAGCTTATTTGCCAAATTTAATGTAGATCCAAGATAGAGGCAGTCACCTGGGGGGACAGGTGGCCACCTGGTAAGTGGTATCCACTGGAGCAAAACCACTCAAGGAGTAGGTTCACTGCAGAGGTTGGTGGTCAGCTGTGGGGAAGCCCGAGGGCCCCAGTCCTCAGCCTGGGGGCAGGTGCCGGGGAGGGGTCTCACCAATGTAGTCTTTCAATGCCACTGGCTCACTCTTCTTTACAAAGCCAAAGATGATGAGCTCTTCAAACAGTGAGTCCACGGACCTGGCAAAGGGTGGTGCGGGGACCCCCCAAGGTTGAAGGGAAGGGGAGACAGAGGTGAGTGGGGTGGTACTGTTGACATGAGGAAGGGGAAATAAGGGGACCTCACACCCCAGATCCTGTGGTTAAAAATATCAGTAGTGCCATTGGACAGCCAGCCTCAGGAGGCACAGCACCAGCCCTCTGGCCCAGAAGGCAGTGTGCCTACAGCGGGGCTCTGCGGGTTGAGAGGTGTGAGAGGGACAAGTGCCCTCTGCGGCACTCCCTCCACAGTCTGCCCTCAGCCCAAAGTTCCACCATCAGAAACCCAGTCTTTTGGGTGATATATCGCCCTCTTCCTAGAAAGCGCACTTAAGATGTACCACTCCTGGGAGGGACGGCCATTAAAGCCGCTGACATCGACATGCTCATGATACACTTCACCAGAAAAGTGAGTAGAAAGGGACCCCCGACAAGCTCCTCGGTGCCCCGGCTGTGCAGCCCAGGGAGATGGCTTTGGTGGGGACGGAGCTGGTGGATGCAGACACTCTGGGGAGGAGCAGGAAGGAGGGAGCACTGGGGCAGCACTCCGCACACATTTACTCTGCACCATCATTTCCGGGGCACTTTCTTATGCTTCTGTTTGCTCCCCATAGTCACCTTGGGAGTTTGGTTAACTGGGACAGGGAGTCAGAGAGGTGAAGTGACTTCCCCCAAGTCACAGAACAATAGAGCCAGGACCAGAAATCAGATCTGTCCTGGACCAGGGCTGCCTCCATCTCCCACAGGAAGATGGAGGGTCTGCTACCTGTTTAGGGTCAGATCTTTTTCCTTTTTCTTCCTGCCGGTTTTCTTCCCAGCCTTTTTCTGGTTGGGAACAAGCACATGGCCATTGTCCTCTGTTCCTCGCCTGCCCCGCCCTGGGTGCCTTTCCCTGTCCCAGCCCTAGTTGCTCATCTTGCCTTCGGAGACTTCAAGGGTCTCTCCTCCTCCTTGTCCACAACCAGGTGCAGGTTCTTCAGCTCCTGACGCATCAGCTCGTCCACCTGGGGGGACAGCAGGGAGTGTGGCCAGGCAGCCAGGGGCTGGAGGGCACAGGTGAGAGGTGGATGCAGGGGTGGAGAGGGGAGGAGCCATGGGGGAGAGACAGACAAGCCCAGTGAAGGCAGCACAGATGGCCACCATCACCCTCCTACATGTCCTTTTTCAAACTGCAGCTTCTGCAGTTCTCCCCTGACCTGTCCCTGCCCTGTCCACACCCAAACCTGATCCATATCTGGCTCACACATGAGCCTTGCTCTCAGCCCGCATCAACGTGGGGAGAAGCCCCGGGGACGGAGCCAGTCGGCTTTCAGTTCAAGCCCCAGACCACCCTCCACCCTCTCAGCTCAGTTTTCCTGTGAGTGACATCAGGAAGATGACGGCGCCGACTCAGCGTTGTGGAAAGATCCCGTGACCTAAGGCTTCCAAGGTACTTGCATAAGGCGGGCACCTCGCTGGAGTCTTTATGGGACATTGAGGCTGGTGGTGTGCGTGGCCTAGACTCAGCCCCTCCCGCTCCCTCTTGGTGCCTGTACCTCACTCTGCTGCAGGGAGAACGGGGCTGAGATGGACCTGCACAGAGCTGAGACTTCTCAGGGGAGGCTGTGCCAGCGGGCGCTGCAATGGAGGCAGGCTGGGCTTGAGCGGAGAGGGAGGATGGGGGACAGAGCCTGAAGCGGCTGGGGGCCCTGGAGGGAAGCCCTGGGCCAGCACTCTCACCTGTATCCAAATCTCCCTCTCCACCTCCTTCCTCCTCTGTCCCTAGAGGATCTCAGAGTCAAAACTCTGCTTGGGGTGTATGCTCCCACACTGGTTCTTCCACACATCTGACCACAGGGACATGGACAGACAAGGGGAGGTCTGAGGCCCAGGGGAACTCACACCCATGTGCACACACACATGCACATGGGTTGGGCCCCTGACCCACGCTGGACGCCTCTCCTCACCTGGCTGCCTGCACTGTTCTACCCAGACCACAGACAGGCCTGATCACAAGACCTGTAACCATGGGATTCAGACCCAAACCCATAACACCCCCACCCAGGGAAGTACATACCACACCCTTCCCTCCCTGTGGCATTCTCCCCTCAGCCTCCATGCCCACACTGCTGCCTCATGACCCACATGGCACATGCTCACTTTCCCTATGGCCAAGGGTCACCCCAAGACCCCCCACAAGGCCCGGAGACTCTTCCCCAGCCTTCTCTCTCTTACTTATGTATTCCTTGTGCCCAGCATTAATCCCAGGTATAAATTTGGATGGCAACACTTTCAGCATTGTATCCGCTTCCTAGAATAGAAACATCCTGTGACCTTGACCCCCTCACCTTCAGCCATCAGTCTCTGACCCTAATTCTCCCCAGACCAGCATCCCACCAGGAATTCCCTCGACTTCGTGCCACATACATGGTCCGCACGTCCAGGAGGAATCTTACCCACTTCCTGGTATTTCCTTCCTTCCCTTTCTTCTTCTCTTTTTTCTCCTTTCCTTTTTCTTTATTTTTCTCTTGGTCCTTCTTTTTGCTCTCCTGGACCTGCATCTCCAGTTCCATTTTCACCCGTGGCCAGTGGTGCAAGATGTTTAGAGAAGACCATGGAGGTTTCACAGCAGGAGAACCCAGGCCCTGAGATGGTGGACCCAGATCGCAGTGCCCAGGGAAACTGCTGGGGTCCAGAGGGCTGAGAGTTGAGGCCTCCCTGAGGCCCAGGATGACCGGGGTGCCAGGCGGAGTGCTCCGATGAGAGCTGCTGCTCTCTCCTGGCTCGTGGGGATCGGGAGCCACCACAGTTCCAGCAGGCATGCTTCCTCTCCCTGGCACAGGCGCCCTCTCCAGGCACAGGTGCCCTTCTCCTCCCATACAGTCTTGCTAGCTACATATATTGCTTCCAGCCACATCTGCCCCCACTGAGGCACCCTCTCCCCCCACCCACTGCCAACCTCAGCTTGCACTCAGTACTCCCTGTAACCTCAGACTCCACCCACCACAGAAAGTCTCCTGTCTCCACCTCCCGGGTACCTGTTCTGGAGTCTTGTCTGCAAAGATCAGGTAGGATCCACCTAAAGATTCATCTGGATAATCAGGGAATCGACCAGTAAGGGCACTAAATGAACATAATAAGATGGTCAGAGAGATGGTCGTGGGAGGGGGTAGACAGACAGATAGACAGGTAAATGGACAGACAGATGGATGGACAAATCAATGAAGGAATGGATGATGGATGGATGGACATATGTATGGGTGGGCGGATGGATAGATAGATGGATAGAAGGAAGGATGGGGAAAGTTTAAGGGCCAGGGAAATAAAGGCAAAGAGGGAAGAAATGAGAGTTACAGACAGAAAGGAGAGATTGCTCAGGGGACATTCACCGGTGTTTTCCCCATTCTATTTTGGTATTTTCTGTAATATTTTTGGTATGTCTGGGAAAATGGGAAGTCATGTGTGGAGATGGTCCTGTAGGTTGTGGGCCCCAGATTTAAGCCAAGTATGTTAGCAGGGTGTCAAGGGGCTAGAGAAAAGGGCCCAGTTTGGACTAGAGGACAGACAGGCGTGGGGACACTGGGGGCAAGAGAGGAGGAGCCTGAGGGCTGGGTCAGCTGAGGCTGCGGACACTGACTGGCACTCCATAAACCATTGTCGGATCTGCTCCTTCATTTTCTCCTTCGTGTCTGGCCCTTCCGTCTCTTTGAGAGAATTGTGGGTCTTCACTATGGCCACCTGGGACTCCTCCTCCTCTTCTAGCTGGCGGAGCCTCCGGACATCCTCCCTGCAGCAGCCCTGGGGCATGATACCCACTCACTCCACCTGGTTGGGCGAGGGGAGCTGGGGATGTGGAACGGGAGGCCAAGAGCGGGCGTGGGGAGGACCCAGCCTTGGCCTCAGGCACACACACCTGCTCCTATCCCCATTCCTCAACACGCCAGCACACGAGGCCCTGCGCACACACCCGCACGGAACGACAGGCATGCCTGCACCAGGAGAAATTGTGTTTGCAGCCAAACTCGGCTGTGTAAATTACTCTGATAATGAGTTTGCTAGATGCATCCGGGCCGGCCCCCCGCCTGCTCCCCACAGCGCACCCTCCCCTGTGAGCCTTTGGTCCCAGCCCCCACCCGCCCCCCGCCCCAGCCGCCCATGTTGGCAGCCGCTCTCGCAGCCACTTTCCCGCCTCATTGGCTCCCAAATGTATTTTAAATATCACTCTGTGCAGAGACAATTACTGAAAACGCTGAGCTCACACTGTCGATGGGCCCGGGTGGCCAGCTCATTCCTCACCCTCTGCCGTGCCATGCCCCCCGCACCTCCCCACCCTGCTAGGCCTGACCCCAGCCTCTCTCTGTCTGCTCTTGCCTCCGCGGGTCCAGATCTCTAGCCCCCAACAATTCTGACCATCACTCCCATGCAGCGGCCCCCTGACCCGTCCCTACTTCTGAACCCCCAAGCCTCCCAGAGTAGACATCCAGCCCTTGTCTCCCACCCCTCTGACCCACCCACCCATCGCCTCCCCAAGTCTCTTGATCAGCCAGACCTCCACAGGCTCTTCCCACTGCAAAGTCCCCCCTGGGGATCATGACCCCCACCCTGTCATGGCCTCCCTCTCCCAAGTCAGCAGAGACTCGCTGGATGAACAAATCAGAGCACAGATGAGATCCAGGGGGCGGGCCTGTTCCCTGACTCTGCACACACTCTGGGGCCTGCCTCTCTTGACACCCACGCTCCCCCTGGGCGCACACTCAGACTCACGTTATGTAGGTCACTTAGCCATCTGCCCTGCACAGCAGAGAGGCCAGTCTGAGGCCCCCAGAGCAAGTGGGGAGCCTGTGGCCAAAAACACTCTGGTGTGAGGTGGGTGTGCCCCCTGAGGAGGCTCTGGGCTACTGTCCCTCATCCCACCCCACATCTGAGATCCTCCTGAGGGCTGTAGGGGGGTGGTGGGAAGGGCCCCAGTCGGCCTCCTCCACTCACACCCACCACAGTCGCAAGAGGAGGGGGTGTGAGTGGCAGTGAGGGGCTGTGCAGGCTGCACCTTGGGGTGGGGGAGCAGCAGATGAAGAGGGAGGGGCCCCCTGCACTGGCTAGCCAGGGGCCTGGCCGGTGGCCAGGAAGGGACTCACCATGCCAATGAACTCCATCTCTGTTTGCCGGTCCTGCATAGTGCGTTTCCTCTGCAGGTAACCTCTCCATACCTGGATGGACACATGGGCCCTGACACACCCCAGACTGCAGTTCTGCAGGGATGTATTTTGAGGGTTCAGCCTCAGGGAGGAGCAGCAGCTGCTGTCTCTGGAAGGTCTGGCTGGGGGTTTGGGGTGGGCGGTGGAAGGAGTGCTGGGAAGGGCACCTCCAGGAGGCAGCTTGTGGGCAACTGCTGCCCTGAGCAGGAATAGCCTGGGACAGGGTGGGATGGGCACCCAGGCCACCCGCTCCAAGGCTTGTTCCTCAGGGCGCCCAGGAATTTCTCCTTCTCATCTCCATCTCTAATCTATGTACCCTTTGAGGCACAGATCAGAGTTCAAGTACACCTTCTCAAAGAGCACTACCCCCTCACTTGTCAGAGTCCCCACAGCATTTGGAGGAAGAACTGGATCCTACCCAGGCCCAGAGACACCAGCACTGTGGGGAACACAGAGCTCCCTGAATAATTTCTATATTTTGACACAAGGAAACTGAGGCCGGAGATGGAACATGGCCTCTCCCAGGTCCCGGAGCCCATCAGTGCAGAGCCGAGACTAGGGCCTGGTTTCCTGACTTGTTGCTCTTCTCTCGGGCCGCCAGCCTCTCTCAGATGCGTGGACAGACCAGTAGTATTTGGCGGGGGGCACTGGGCAGAGCGGGGCAGGGCCAGTGCCTCTCTAGGTAGTTTCCATCCCAAAGCGGAGCCCCAGTGGCAGGCTCTGTGTGGGGCTCCTGTCCCAGCTTCATCTTCCTGCCCCTGTAACTAGCACAGGAAAGGCCCATGATAATGATAACTAAGTGCTTGATCCATTCTGTCCCTTTGATAGTTAACTCCAGAATCCAAAGACCGGAACACAAAATTTCCACACTCCTGATATCTGGCAACAGGGACAAAATGACTTTTTGGCTCTCGGGGGGGACATGGGGCTCTCCCTTTGGGGCCTGCTTTAGTAAGTCCTGAAGGCAAGGCCCTCCTGCACATCCATGGGACAGGTGGACACTGGTACAGTTAGCCAAATGCAGGAGCCTCAGGTTGGGACGCTCTTCATACCGATTCATGATTAAAAATCCCATCACATTTGGAGGACTATTTCCTCTTGGGGTTGTTTGTTTGTTAGTTGGTTGGCTTGCTTCTGGTTTTTGGTGGGAAGGGGTGCTATGTTTCCTTGATTGGACTCCCAGGCAGAAGGATTTGAGGCATTGGGAGAGGAGATTAATTCTAGAGAGAAAGACCCAGCCCTATGTCAGCAATCTGAGCCCTTCTGGAAAGAAAATGTGGCAAGAGACTTCCTGAGACAGGGCAGGGCCCATGGGCCTCAGGAGTGGTCACACTGCAGGAGCAAGTGGTCCCCTTCTGCACTGGAATTTTTCTAGGGTACCTCCAGTCCCAGCAAGCTGGTAACCACCACGGCCCAGAGCTGCTGCCTTCTGGGGAGGTGACATTGAGGCCACACCCACACACTGGGGCCTGGCCAGGAATGGCCACACAGAGCAGAGCAGAGGCACGGCCACCAAGACAGTGCGAAGGCATGGGGAACCTAGATTTTCTGCAGTGAGGTGGGATGCGGTGTGATTATGTTATTTCCATGCTAAAGTACACAGTGACCCCAGTTGGCACAGACCTGGAGGACACCTGGATTGCATTGGTTCTCAAACTCAATTTTGCTCATTGTTTTTCCTTTCGCCTCAGCTGTCAGGAGTCTCAGGATGAATACATTTTAGTGACTCATTTTTAAGTCTTAAGGGTTTCTGGGATGATAATCCAGTCTCTGCTACCGTATTATGGATCTTTGTCCCCTGATTTTAATAATCCTTCTATTTCCAGGGCTTTTATGCTTTCACACCTCAAAGTCCTCTTGGGGCTAGAAATGTAGAATAAATAATAAACAAATAAGATAGATGCTTATTGACTAAGGTCCCTAGTTTAGGATCTAGTTGTGGGGCAACAGAATCCAAGCACCTGCATCTCTGTCATCAACTGCTGAGCCAGGCAGTCTTCCTGGAGAAGGTGACTCTCTACCCTGACCTTCCTTCAGGGAACTGGCAGGAGCAGGGGGTACCTTCTGCATGGTGACAGCTGCTTCATCCCGACTGAATGTGTGCTGCCCACCCTCCTGGATCTTCCGGTCCTGCTCCTCCTCTTTCCAGGTCTCTCACATGAAGGTGGCTCAGAGCCGGCCTTGCCTGGCCCGCTCGGCTCTTTGTAGTAGGATTGTAGCCTCAGTCCGGTGCATTTCTGGAAATCTCTGGCCAGAGCAGAGGCAAAGGATCAGGGGTAGATGAGGGAACTGGGAGATCAGCCAGCAAAGGGCCTGCTGGGGCCATGGTCCTCCCAGGGCACCTGAGTGCCTCTCTCTTGGTGTTGGGTGGTTACAAGGAGCACAAGAGCAGCCTTGATGGAGGCCAGGGGTACCCAAAGAGCACTCTGAGTACAGGTGGGCACAGGGTAGGGCAGCGCCTCTCTGCACCTTGGAAGGTGGCGTCTCTGTGCCAGGCCTGCACCCAGGGGACTCTTCACCAATCCCCTGCAGGGGGTGGGGAAGAGTCTGGGATGCCGTCTCTGCGTCTTACCTCCTCAGAGGGCCCTGGCTGCATTCGGGACAGGACCTCTGCCAGCAGCAGCCCTCGCTCCCTCAGAATGTCGGGCTGCTCCAGCAGGAAGTATCTGGCAATCGGAACCTCCAGGTCTGCCTTCGGGGCAATACGGGGGAAGTGGGAAGAAGGTCAGGAATCAAAATCGGGCTGTCTGGTAGCTCCACTGCCATTCGCTGCTCACACAGACGCGGGCGCTGTTTTCCTCCCTCCCAGGGCCCCAGGGTGGGAGATTTATGGGTAATGGACAGATCCCTCCAAGGGTCTCCCCTCTCTTCCCTTCCCCCACCATGCGGCCAGAGTTGAATTCTGGAGGATCATGGCAGGTAATGTGCATGGGTCCCAAAACTGGCTGTGCTTCAGAATCATCCGGAAATCTGTTAAAATGCAGATTCCCAGGACCTCCTCAGATTATCACACCAGACGGCCGGGCCTGGAGAATCTGTTTTTGGTCCACAAACTATGGACACTTGGAGGAACAAGCCTCCAGGGGACTCTTCACCAACCCCCTGCAGCCTGTGGGTATTCGCAGCCACCCGCCAACTACATGCATACACTCCGCAGTTCCAGAAGCCCTTCTCCCTAGACCATATCCCATCCCCTGGTCTGCCCCGCCCTCCTTCCCACACAAAGGCAGGGGTGTCCATGGGACATCAAGACCAGACCCGGCCTCTCTCCCCTCTGCTGGCCAGAGTGTGGCTCCTTGCACGCCCAGGTCAAGGCCACCACTCCCACCCCTGCCCCCCATCAGGCAGAGGCATGGCCGCGTGCCCAGGCCTGCGCACCGGGGTGAGCTTGAGGTCCTGTAGCAAGCGGTCCAGACAGTGGGTCTCGCACAGGTCTGCACGCACCAGTTCGTCCTTGAGCTCCAGCACTCGGCCCGCCACGCCGTTCAGCAGGCGCCGCAGCAGCCACCGCTTCTGCGGCTGCACCATTTGATCATAGAGAGTGTCGAACCGGCGCAGCAGCCCCAGGTAGCCCAGGTAGAGCGAAGTGAGCCTGTGCTGGAAGGACTGCCGCTCCCGGTTGGGTACGGGTTGGAGCAGGGGCTGCTCTTGGTCCAGCAGCTCTTGCAGGGCCACGTGGGAGGAGTCCCAGAGGTGTTGATACGCTCTGGAGAGGAAACAGCAGGGATGGGTGCTCTGAGCCACAGGGGAGTGGGGACAGCGGGGGAGCCTTTTAAGGAGTGTGAACTCAGGGTCTCAGAGGTGTGAGGTTCAGGTTACTCACGGTGCCCAAGAGGAGGACAGTGAAGCGAGGGTTTCTCAGGGGGGATGAGATAGCAGTTAACAGTGAACATCGGAGTGGCTTAGAGAAGGTGTGCAATTAGAGTCACTGCTGGGAGGGGTCCGCTGATGGCTTAGCAAGGATGAAGGATGGGCACGGCCAGAAAGGAAGAGGCCTTTTGGAGTCACTGGAAAGTAAGTAGTTCCCTCCAGGGTGAGGGTGCAGCCCAGGGATGCTGCAATGGTCTAGGATGGTGGGTGGGAAGTGGGGGTGAGGGATGAGTGTAGAGAAGGGGTCCCTTCCCTGGAACAGAGCCCTGGTTCTGGAATTAGCAGTCCAAGGGAAGTCTGAAGAGCAGAAGCTGACCACTGGCAGGAGCAGCCAGCCAGGGTTGCTGTGTGAATGCCTGAGGCCCTGGTCCCCACCCTCCAGCCCCAGCCTCACAGGACCAGGGAGGCCCTTTGTTCTTTGCTCTCAGGGCCCTGAGGACTCCACTCCTGCTTCTCATTCACCTCTCAGACATGGTGCCTGCTCCTTACACTGCCCTTTGTGAGCTGGTCATGCAATCTGCAGCACCTGTGGCCCCACTCTGACACCCCCGTACCCCCACGCCAGAACAGCAAGGTTTTAAGAGTTCTATCTCATTGTCCCCACGTTCTAAGGCTGCGAGGGGAAATGCTGCAAGTGCAGGCCTAGGGACATTTCTCTCAGATGTCCTGGACACCGCATACTGGAGGGAGGGTAGGCTCCCCAACAGCACGCCCTGGGAGGCCAGGGCAGAGGGTGCAGTCAGCCTTGGCTACTTTTCTTGTGAGGAGTGGATAAAAGGATGGGCTCTTTTGGAAGTCACGCTATAAGCTGTGAGGCTCTGGGTAAACACTAGTCCTCCAGGTGTTCCTGCAAGTGCACCTCTCAGCTGGAGGAACCCCATCTTCCTTAATTCGAAACCAGCCTCCTCTGCTCTTACATGACTATACTGGAGGCAGGTGTGATGTGAGGGAAAGGGGCAATGGAGTTGGGGTCAAACGCCTGGGTTCAGGCTCTAAAGTCACAGCTTCCCCTTGAAGTGAGCACAAGCATGCCTAGTTCCCTGGGGTCTGCTAGCAGTTCACTGGCTCGTGTGAACCACATCCATGTGAAGAGTGACATTAGGAGCAGTGGATGGATTCAGAGCTCCTGAGCTACCGGTGGGCTTCCCCATCACTCTACAAGCTAAGGAGACCATTATTTGGAAAATACAAAACATAGCAGCCTGATTCTGGTCAGCTGGGGTGACCTTTTGGGCTTAGTGTAAGTAGCAACTTATGGATAAATATACAAGGCACAGGGCAAAGGAAAGGGTCAGAAAGGAGACAGCAGCAGAGAGGGGCAGGAGATTCATTCTCAGGCTTTAACATGCAGCCAGATTACTGAGAATCTTGTCAAGATGCAGATGCCAGTTCCACAACCTGAAGTGGCATCACAATTCTGCATCTCTAACAAGCTCCCCTGTGTGGCAGATGCTGCTGGTCTCTGAATCACACCTTGAGTAACAAGGTATGAAACATGGAGGGCGTGGGGATGAGCCACGTCTCAGGGCCCAGATCCCCTGGGCCTGCCCCTTTCTAGCTGTGGGAGGGACCAAAACGTGGAAAAGTAGTTCTCATCTCATGGTGTCTCCCTGTTCAGCTTGATGCATGAGAAAATACATGTGAAGTATGCACCCAAATGTTGGTCATTGTACACTGAGCTTTCCAGTACATGAAGCGAAGGCCACAAGCCGAGTCCATCCAGTTGCAAAGGGAACATAAAGAAGTTTGGATTTCTTTACTAAATCCCATCCTTCGCCACACCTCCTCAGAGCTTGGGAGGGAATTTATGAGTCATATGCCTGTAAGATAGAGCAGAGGCTGAATGAGAGAAAAGGCAAATGGAGTCAAACGTTAAATCGGAAGATCTGGGTGACAGACATGTAAGTGGTCACTGTATTGCTGCAATTTTTCTCTGGGTTGAGATTTTTCAAAATAAAATTGGGGAAGGAAAGTTAGGAATCTCAAAAACACTCCCGCTTATTTGTTCTGAAATGAAGGGGAAGGAAATGTTAGGGAAAAATAAAAACATCTTATAGATTCCCAGCAGGTTATTTAGAAGCTGGTTGGGGCCTTCCCTTTTGGGTCTTGAAGGACAGATCCATGTAGCCTGTGCCCAGTGCAGGGCACAAACGACAGTTTGCAGAAAATGGTATCACAAAACCATGAGGAATTTCAGGCCCAGAGGGCATGAGGGAAGAATTCAAATCCAGCAGACGCAAATTTGAATCCAGACCCCAAGGCCTACTTCAGCTCACTGCCAGTGAGAACATCTGTACATATACAAAGCTCTATCACACCGATTATGCGGCACACCCAGAAAGCAGTTTTTAGAAAGTATGACTGTCCCCACCTTGGCAGACATAAAGTGACGATTGGTTTGCTCCACATCATACCTCACCTTCCCACAGCTCTACTTCAAATCACCACAGTGCACGGGAGCAATTCGCCCTTTATTAACATTGGACCCGGGTCACTTGGAGCTGGTATACTTGGTGACGGCCTTGGTGCCCTCGGACACCGCGTGCTTGGCCAGCTCTCCGGGCAGCAGCAGACGCACGGCTGTCTGGACTTCCCGGGATGTCAGGGTGGTTCGGCCCGAGTACTGGGCCAGCCGGGCGGCCTCACTGGCCAGCCGCTCAAACACATCGTTCACAAACGAGTTCATGATGCTCATGGCCTTAGAAGAGATGCCGATGTCAGGGTGCACCTGGAAAAGCAGCAGGGCTGCCGTTAACAAAGAGGCTCTGCCTGACACCCACCCAAGCTGGGGATGGCAGGAAGCCAGAGGCAGGACTGCTAGGCTGCCCACTAGCCTCATCCCAGAGGCCCAGAGACACAGAAACAGGCATTTGTTTTTTTTTACCTATATCCAAATTTAAAAACGTTTCTCCCACCCTCAAGAGGTAATGCTATTAAGTCCCTTTATAAGTGCATGTAAGCATCTATCTTTGACAAATGGAATCAGCTACACAGCATTTTATTTTTTTTCCATTTAATGCATTTTCATAGTGTTCCATAGTACAGATGAATCATGGAGTTTAAATCCCCATTCCTCTCTTAATGGACATTTAGGGTTTGTTTTTTTCTATTAGATTGTTATTGTAAATACACCTCTCTGAATACTTGTAGGAACCTACTGAAGGCTACTGCGGGAGGTGAAGTCCCTCAAGGTGGGCCTGCCACCAGCCAAAAGGGCTTTCACACTTAACATGGTAGACTGTTACCTAATTGCTCCAGAGGGCACACTCATAAGGCACGTCTCAGCACCAGACTAGGAGTAAGGAGACCCAGGTTCTGTGGCTGTACCCCAAATCACTGTATGACCTCAAATAAGGCACTTGCCTCCGCGTCTCAGTTTCCTCTTCTACCACGTAAGTTTTGAACTAGGTGATCTCTAGTAAAACACATGGCAAGGGCCTGATAGCAATCCTAAAAACTGAGTAGGCAGACATTGTTTCCCTGTAAAGTGGGAGATAAATGACTGCCGACAACATAAAGCAAGCCAACGGTGGAGACAGAACCAGAACTGGACTTCTCCGGACCTGCTCCTCTCCCCCCCTCCCCAGCTCGGGTTGCCACGCATAGCAGGAGAGCTGAGTCTAGAACCCTCCTGCTGTCCTCACAGCCCACTCCCCTCAGGCTTGCGAGTGAGATGCCAGGTTTTGCAGTGCACGGTGACTCAGCACTGCCCTCCTCTACGAGTTCAGTCCTGGCCCAACCCTTCTACAGTTTTTGAGCCCCAGTTAGACTAAGCTGCAGGGCTTACTAAAACCCCATTCCCACCCCACTTTCTTTAGGCCACTGGAGTCTGTCCTCTGCTGCTGCCCTTTTAGCCAATCCACACCAGTGCTGCCCCCACCCCCCAGAAAGAAAGCATCCCAGAGACCCAGGTTGTCAGGTCACTAAAACTACTAATGGGACTCAGACTAGAGAGGCTCCACTTCTGGAGCTCATCTAATGAAGGGGTAAGACTCTTAGGCAGGTAGGAGGGACACTCTGGGCAGGCAACATAGCTACCCTGCCTCCTCCTGGCCCTGGCTCTGCTGTGTGTCCTCAGAACCTCCACATACTGGATGTGGGGTACCCACTAGTGCTCAAAAATGTTTGTTAGTGTGTGAGTCCCAGAAGTAGGTGCTTCTTGTAGGTGCACTGGTAGCTGGCCCAGAGAGAAGGGACCTGCAATTCCTGCGGGTAGGGGGATGGGACAAGCAGTAAGAAGGCAAGGGGCTGGCCCAAAGCTTGAGGGAGGGGCTGACCTCTGCTGCTGCAGGTCATGTGACTGAGTCAATGCTGAGCCTTTCAGATCCTGGGTGCCTCCACTGTGAGTCAGACCCGCCCCTTAGGCCCTCAAACACCAAGTGCCACTTGTCTTCTGGAAGGCTTTCCCCAACACTGCAGTTCACGCGAGTTATTCCTTGCTCCAGCCACCACTAACTAGGACTTCTGGTTTGTCCCACGTGTGTGTGTGGTACCTGATCACCTTCAGCCCAGCACTTGCTTGTGGTATTCATTGTCTTAATTAAGCCCCATCTAACATTCCACGTAACTGTCCAAAAGCCCTTAAGCTTCTGGACTGTAGTGGGGCACATGCTTTTTAAATGTCTCCTGCAGCCATGACAAATACTGAGAGGCTATAGGGACCTCCGAGATGCAGCGGGGCCCCCGCAAGAGGTGCGCGGTGTGCCGGGGGCCACTTGCCTCAGTGCCAGGAGTACACCAGTCCTGACTGTTCAGCGACCTGCCAAGGCCGTGGCCGGTACACTCCACACGCACGCGTGCTAGCTCCCCGCTCTCACCTGCTTCAGCACCTTGTAGATGTACATTGAGTAGGTTTCTTTGCGCCGGCTGCGCTTTTTGGACTTCTTGTCCCCAGAACTACGGCTCCTTCGGCCCCCAGGATGCTGCTGCCCGTGCTCAGGGCTCATCCTCCGGCTCCTCCTAGCAGCCGCCTCCTGCCCCTTGGGGGTACTTTTATGCGGTCAGCTGCCCGCCAGGTGGGGCTGGAGGCCGGCACCTGGGATGGGGGTGGTGGGAGGGAGGGGCTGGGCCTAACCCTATCCAGAACAGGCCCTGGGTTAATCTTCAAAGAGCCTAATTGCTTCCTCCTCCCCACCAAGTGATTTCCTGTTTCTGAATAAGAGAACCCACACCAGCCCGCTGGCGCCCCTTCATCCCTGGCTGAACACATGCCTGGTTCCCACAGCAGCGCCCGGCTCCCCGTGAGCTCAGCACGGCGAGAGCTGCGGGGTGTCAGAGGGACACAGGCACACTCGGCGCCCGCCCCCTGCAACACAGCTGAAGGGACAAGCCTGGGTCACGCGAAACAATTAGGGGGGAGTCAAAAGGGCTGAAGTGTGTGGTAGGGACAGAGTTCAGAAAAGCAAAATCAGCAGGGGCCACAGTAGCTAGAGAAGGCTTCAGGAATCAGCGGGGGCTTCATGGATAAAAGCTGGTCTTGTAGGATGGGCACAATTTAAATGGGAAGAATGGGAGAAAGGGCAACAGTACGAAGAGTAGAGCGGAATCAATGTGTGCGGAGTGCAGAGAAGCCTGGACTGAAGGCGGAAGATGCAGCAGAACCTGAGCCCAGACTAGGTGGAGGCAGCAGGAAACCGCAGGCTGGGAGGGTCTGACAAGGACGAAGCCGTCTGAGAAACCCGGGATGCTCTCCATACAAACAGGCGATGAGGGGTCCCTGTGGGAGTGGGCTGCAAAGGGAAGGGAAGAAAAAGGCAGCTGTTAAACGGAGAAAGGTGCCTCACTTTGCACCTCCATGGGTATTTCAGGTTCTCGAATTCTATGATTTAAGAAACCTGGAGCAACATAAGAAGTCTAGGCTGGGGGCAGAGGGCTTTCCCAATCAAGAGGTGGGGCGGAGTAGCCGAGAGAAGCATCACCTGCCAGTGGGTCAGAGCAAGCCTGAGTAAGCAGCACCTCACTAAGCCTGCCTCTTTACCCACCCCCCACATTTACGTGGTAAGACTTGTTTCAAGAGATCCAGGAGGGCAATTCTTAGACCAGAAAAAGGCACTGCTAATTTAAGCACTTGTAGAATTATTTTGTGGACTTTTTTTAAAATTAAGGTATCATTGATATACACTCTTATGGAGGTTTTACATGAAAAACATTGTGGTTACTATATTCATCCATATTATCAAGACCCCCCACACCCCATTGCAGTCGCTGTCCATCAGCATAGTAAGATGCCACAGTCACTATGTCTTCTCTGTGCTACCGTCTTCCTCGTGACCCCCACACACACCACGTGTGCCAATCATAATCCCCTTCATTCCCCTTCTCTCTCCCTCCCCTTTGGTAACCGCTAGTCCCTTCTTGGGGTCTGTGAGTCTGCTGCTGTTTTGTTCCTGCAGTTTGGCTTCGTTGTTATACTCCACAAATGACGGAAATCATTTGGCACTTGTCTTTCTCCGCCTGGCTTATTTCACTGAGCATAATACCCTCTAGCTCCATCCATGTTGTTGCAAATGGTAGGGTTTGTTTTCTTCTTATGGCTGAGTAATATTCCATTGTGTACATGTACCACCTCTTTATCCATCTACTGATGGACACTTAGGTTGCTTCCGTATCTTGGCTATTGTAAATAGTGTGTGATAAACTTAGGGGTGCATGTCTTTTTGAATCTGGGATCTTTTTTGGGGTAAATTCCCAGGAGTGGAATTCCTGGGTCAAATGGCATTTCTATTTTTAGTTTTTTGAGGTACCTCCATGTTGCTTTCCACAATGGTTGAACTAATTTGCATTATTTTGTGGGCTTTTTAAGTGTTCTAGAAGTTGAGATTGTTTTGGACAAGCTGCCTACCCTACTTCCATTCAGCCTGTTCTGATGCCCTCCCCTCCCTTAGCACACACTTCAGGTACACCATACGGAGACCCGAGACCCGCAAGATTTTAATGGGCGCTTTTGGCAACACACCCAGGCCCTCCCTTGGCTGAAGTAGCAGCTCTTGCCTCTGTTCCCATTGTCCCAGCAGCTCACTCCCAGGACTATTCTCCCCTAACCCAGCCCCCGGGTACTCAGGACAGACTGACAGGGCCATTCTGCTCTGGGTCCCATGGAAGGCACAAGGCAGCAACGCCAGGCCCCTCAGGGTGGGAGGGCGGGATAGGGGTCTGAGCCCCTCACTGGGCGCAGCCATCTGGGCTCAGCTGCAGCTTCCCACCTGATGGGTCTTGGTGCTGCATCTGTCCAGGGCAGCTCTTGGATTTCACAGCCATCTGAGATCCTACTCATCTTTCAAGTTAGGGCACCAATCCTGCCTTTCTATCTATTCCGTGAGAAATTGCCCTCCCTTTGGAGTCCTTCTGTGTATCCTAAATTGCAATTTAGCCTTATTTATGCCTTTCCTGTCTTGTTCTCTCATCTTGTTGGCTTTCCCATTAGATTGTGAACTCCTTGGGGGTTTAGACACCATCTGGGACTTAACTTTACACATTCTTACATGTACTATAAGGCACACTAATAAATCATGGCTGTGTGTGTTGTTCCACAAGGATGACTGCTGAGGTTGCAGGAGTGCTGAATCCACACAGGTAAGGATGCCCGGGGGTGTGCCTGATGACACAAAGCCTGGAAGTGCTATTCAAGTTCAGACAGGCTATGCAGAGCCCTGGAATGTAGTAAATTAGTGCTAATGAAAATTAATGCTGTAGATAAAACTTTCAGTATCCCACCAGAAACAGTGGTTCACAAACTTCAGTATGAAAATGTAGGCTCTTGACCATTTCTCCATCTCCCCCACCCCACCAAATGGAATCAATACATCTGGAACCTGGAAGTCTGCATTTTTAATAGGCACCCCCAAGTGCTGTGGTATAGGTCTGGAGGGAAAGCCTCAGACCACTATGAAAAACATGCTCCAGGACAGTGGTTCTCAAAGTGTGGCCCCCATACCAGCAGTATCTTCGCCTGGGAACTTGTTAAGACATTTTAATTCCTGGTCTCACCCCAAACCTACTGAACCAGAAACTCTGAGGCAAGACCCAGTGATCTGATCTATTGATTCTTCCGGGTGATTCTGATGCACTGGCCTAAGAAAAGGCACAATTTCTAATCAGCAGAAAGGGAGAGGAGTCCTTTCAGGTCCTGAGACTGGCCTTCTGTCCACATCCATCTCCCTGACTCCGGCCCAGCTCTTGCTGAGGGGAAGGGACTACTGGCACTACAGGGTGGAAGGGGGTGAAGGGCCCGGAGGCCTGAGAATGAATGTAGGGACCGTGGCTGCTTCTTTCTTTATTGGACACTTTGTAGATGTCACGTAAGTCTAAAAGTTACACTGTTAAATAATTATTTAAAAACTGACCAAGACTGAGGCCCTAGTTCAGAGCTCCAAACCAGAAGCAGAAAGGAATGGGGGTGGTGGGCTGGGGGGTATTCCTCCAACATCACCAAAACCCAGAAAACGAGGATCCTAAGCTTTCACGGGCCAGCCCAGGGCATGGGTCCTTGGGCTAACCCTCAGGTACCTCTGGCTGCATCACGGTTGGGGTCAGTAACCAGCAAGGGGCTGGCCGGAACAGCCAGCCGAGTCCAGACATGGACATAAGTAACTGGAAGGACAGGAAGAGACAGGTACTGTCCAGCTGTGGGTAAGATCACAGAGGGCAGCTAAGGCAGGTGGGGTCAGGGAGGGGCTGGGGAGTGGTATTGCATCAATGCAGGAGTGTGGCCCCAGGGGCCTGGCCCGGCCCAGGTCAGGGCTCACACGTTGTGGGTCCTCCTGGTGAGCTGGGGCTCCTCGCCCACCAGCTTGGACTTGAGGTGCTCCTTGTAAGCCAGGATATCTCCAGGCCATTTGGTGATTGTCTGCTTCTCACAGACCCAGATTTCTTGTGCAACCTAGAAGGCAAATAGTAGATTTACTAATCCTGGCCAGCACTCTCTTCTCCCATCCCGGCCTAGAAGACTCTCTCAGGGACCCAGGAAGGCACCACCACCCTCCCACCTCCCAAGCCTCAGCCCCAGGCCCAGCTCAGGGTTTCACCACCTTAATGTCAACTCAGCAGTATGGTAGCCAGCAGGCCTGAAACCTTCCAAGCCAGAATGTGCTGGGTCACCCCAATTCCCAGGCCCCCAGCAGGGCCTAGATCTGTTCAGAGGCTTCACTCTCAGCTTCGCTTTCTCTACCCCATCTTCCCCACAGCTTTGAGAAATGGCAGCTGCTTTCTCACCAAGAACTGGCAGTTGCCCTCTGTCTAACCCAAATCCTCCTTAGTGTAATACTACTCCTCCTAGGTCAAAGACTCTCGGGACAGCAGTAAAATCACCCTGTTTTCTACCCAACTCCCTCACTGATTCTGGCCAACAATGCCAAGAAGGTTAACATCCTCAAATAGCTACTGAAAATCGGAGTGTTTCCATTAAGGCTTTCTAAGTTTTTTCCAAAAGCCATTAAGATCTGTTCCTCACCATCCTGTCTGAGGGCCCTGAGCCCTTTTGCCAAATCCAGTAAGCATGTATGACATGCCCCCCATGGGCCACAACTGTCCCACCCACCCTTCTCCTAGATGCCCTCTACTTGGCCTCCTGCCCTTGCCAGGAGCCTCACCTGCTGAATGAGTCTGAAATCATGGCTGACCAGCATCATACCACCCTCAAACTCATTGATGGCATCTGCTAGGGCATCGATGGTCTCAATATCCAGGTGATTAGTGGGCTCGTCCAGGAAGAGCATGTGGGGGTTCTGCCAGGCCAGCCAGGCCAGACACACGCGACACTTCTGCCCATCAGACAGGTTCCGGATTGGACTCACCTGAGTGGAACCATGACATTCATACAATTTGATGTTACCCCTACCACACAGCACGATTCACCTTTCCCCACGGCTCCTCCATTAATATTATCACCATCTTACAAAAAGTGGAGCTCAGGAAAACACAAGATCACACAGCAAGACGGTGGCACAGCTCTCAGTCTCTCAAGGCCTGAAAGGGATACATCTGGGAGCCTGAAGACCTTGTCATTACCGAGGCCATACCTCACAGTCTCTTGCCACTTAAATCTTAATGAACTGGAGCAATCCTGTGCAATCCTGTGGACCCTCAGTCCACATCTGAATCCAGTAACTTGTTTTTTAGGTTTCAGTTTCCCTTGCCTTCAAACACTATGGCTCATCCTGTTAGTCTGGGTGAGGGCAGGTTAGTGACCAGCACACTATTCCGGCCCCTCCCTCACAACAAAACCTAAGTGAATCACTACTAACAACAGAGGGCGAAGGAAAGGTAGTGGCTCTCTTTGGAGCGGAAAGAAAAGAAAAATACTTCTGGGGTAGCTTCCAAAACGGGGTCACCAGGACAGCATTCCCTGACCTTCCAGCCAGAGTCTCCCACCCATCTGGGGTTCTTTCCCCATCCCCCTCCACTGACCTGCTGCTTCCCGGTAAGACCATATCGCCCAATGATCTTCCTCATTTCCTCCTTCTCCTTTATCTCTGGATAGCACTTCATCATGTACTCCAAAGGCGAGAGATCTAGGTCCAGCTGCTCTTGTAAATGCTAATGGGAGAAAGGAACACCCACCCAGGCGTGACCGATGTTCCACTTCAAAAAGAACCCTGCTGTTACCTGCCGAGTAACTCTCTACTCAGGCACCTGTTCAAGATTCCAGGAGAAGCAGGTAAGAGCTGACTTGGTCACATGAGCCCCCTTCCCACACTGGGCAACTGCCCTTACCCCAAGGTCTGTACCTGATGGTAACGCCCTATCTTGACATGAGAGTGTTTTCGAATCATCCCGTCTGTGGGCAGCAGCTAGAAAGAAAATAGTAGTAAGTGGAAAGATAAGCATGTAAAAAAGAAAACCTGGTCAGAATCAGACATAGGCAGAGTGGGGAAACAAACATACGTTCACACTGAACAAGACTCATACAACTTCCTCCACAGGATCTACATCACCACCTCACAGACTGCTACTCAGGCCACTCTAAAAATATTTAGGAAGAGATACTCAAACACATGTTCTCAAGGGAGGCAGAGATACACCACAATCTATTCAGTAGTTTTAAAATACCTACTATAAATGAGCTATACCGTGTAAGAAAGCACTCAGATGTAGGTATAATATACATTTCTAAAATAAACACACACACGTGCGCGTTCTCCATCTCAACACTGCCTGCACCCCAGACAGCTCACTGACTACCAGAGCACTCGGGCCCTCCGACAGCAGTGGCCCCACATACCCTCCCTCCTCCTCAGGCCCGCTAAGCCCCACTCTTCAGGTCCCACGCCCCCACCTGGCAGCATTACCTCTCCAGTTAGCAGCTTCAAAAGAGTTGACTTCCCTGCTCCATTGGGCCCCACCAGAGCCACTCGTGTGTCAAGATCAATACCAAATTCTAGATTGTTGTAGATGCAAGGCTGAGGTGGGTGAGAGGGAGAGATGGAAGAAGACAAATCAACCTGGCTGGCAGACCAACCCTGCCGAGTCCCCTGTGACCACTGGAGGATGTGAGAATGCGGAGAAGGGAGGCAGCTTGCACGGCAGACCTCAACCCACTGCTTTCATCTGCCAACCTAGCTGGGTAATTTTCCTCCAAGTACTTGAAAAGGGGGGCATAGGGAGTCCCTGGATGAGGCACCCCAGCCCCCATTCCTGAAAACCCCCGTGCACCATGTGAATTAGTAGGGGTGGCAGCAAAGAACAGGGGACTCTTCCAGCCAGTTGATGCTGACCTTGTAAAATGCACACCAGCCTCCCAACCACACACGTGTACTCACCCCATCTTTTGTATACTTGAAGCTCACATTTTGTACCATAATGACAGGTGGAGGGATCTTGCCACATGGCGGGAAATAAAATGAAAGTGTCTAGGAGGAGAAGGCATTATCAAGTGAGGTCCCTTCTTAGCTGCCCCACCTTAGGCCACCTGACTCATCCAACTGTTCCCCACCTTGTCACTCACGACCCTCTCTGTCAGCCCCGATGCCATCATTTTCTGTAGCGTCTTCTCCTTGCTCTGGGCTTGCCGGGCCAGCTTGGCGCTGCCGTGACCAAACCTAGCAATGTAGTTCTGAGAGAACAAAACGGGGGCTTGGGGTGCAGGCAGGCGCTAAACAACTCACCTTAAATGCAGAGTGAAAACTGATGACAACTTCTTCTGGACCTCCTCCAGCAACCCTCAACTCCCCAGATAACATCAATCCAACTCCCCTGGAGAACCTGAGCTCAGCTCTGTGTTTGCCCTACCTTCATGTGTGCGATCTGATCTTGCTCCCAGTGAAACCTCTTCATCTGGTTCTCCTCCAGCTCCAGCCGTGTCTTCACATACTGATCATAATTACCCTGCAGGGAAATGCACCAGGCGAGGCAGGTAGCTTTACCTTCACTCCTGGGTGCTCACTCAGGGTTCGGGAGGGTGTGGAAAGGCATCTGACTTGGCCCTGGCTGTAAGACTGCGCGGTAGGGGAAGGGGAAGTGCATTCAAGAAGCATATCCTAAGCTAGAATCTGAGTTCTCTCACAGTGGGCACCTTTCGCTCTCAGCCGGAGCAGGGCCCCAGATCAAATCCTCAGATTAGCCACAAAGACAGCCACAGCACTGACAGCGGCCCTGTCAGATGGACATCACAAGGCTCACCACCTTCCAAGAGCACCTCCTACTACCCCCCACCCCTAGAAGCTGAGGCCCCAGGAAGACTAGAAGAATGGCCCCCAGGAGGGGAGACATGAGGCCAATCAGACTCAGGCCCTGGCAAACCCTGCACCATTGCACTGCCATGGTTTCTACCTGCAAACAACCGGCCCCAACCTTCACATCCACCAAAAGGGTCTGACAAGTTACAGGACAGCCACACACTGAAACACTACGGAGTCACCGAAAAGGAGACTGATCATATATATTTTATATGGAAAGCAGTCCAAAAGTATTAAATTTTAAAAGCAACAAACATAACAGAATGTTTCTACAAATGCCTCTACATACATAGGAAATTTCTAGAAGACTACATAGAAAACCACATAAAAAATATTAACAGTCCCATGGTGAGTATAACTTTGACTGAGGAGGACTGCTGTTTTCATTTTTTATTTGATACCATTTTCAAAATACAGAAAATGAAAAGGCAAGGCAGAGAAGTGGGCTGCTGAGATATTGACTTCCTTTCTTTGTGGAAGGAGGGCTAAGCGAGCTGGCTGTCAAGAAGCAGTTAAGTAGCCATTCAAGAAGGCAGGGAACAGCAGGGTCTGTCTGAGCAGCATGAGAAGTCACCCTCTCTGCCATAAAACAAATACACTCCATGTGCACAGGCTGCCAATCTATGGACCATGGCCTGAAAGTAAGCCTAGTTGTTTTTTCTTTGTAAAGAACTTTAAGGGCTTGGTAAGCACAGAGGCTATTGTGGAGACACTTGGGCCCACTCACCGTATAGTACTTCAATTTCCTGTTGTGCATGTGAATGATGTTGGTACAGACACCATTCAGGAAGTCCTGGGAATGTGAGACGAGGACCAGGATGCGCTTAAAACTGCAAAGCCAGAGAACCAGTTAGAGAGGTCCTCAAAACGGTAAGGAGTCCACAACAGGTGAGCTGAGAGTCAGACCCAGAAATGCTTCATCTTTCCCACTCTTGCCCCTGAGCACCCTTCAGATTTGATGGCCAATTCCTGGCTCTCAGCATCTAAGCCGCCAGCGCACAATCTACAAGTAAGGACAGTTTGCTGCCTTTCAAAGTGTGGTGCGGCAGTCTGCGTTTCCTGTATCTTCTGTTTTAATTTTCAACAGAATGGAATGGAGATGGTAGTAACAGGGATGGTTAAAACACAACTGTATATACACAAACACACCCATAAATGTATCCAAAACTGTGGGCGGGAAGAGCTGGAACAGGTGCAGTAAAAATCAGCTGTTCTTTCTGAAAGAAGGTACAAGTCACTGCAGAGCCCACTGAATGCCTGCTTTCTGAGTTGGTACAATATTCCAGTTTGCCCACCTCTTCAGTCATAGAGGGGTCTTTGCCCTGTCAACTATGTGTTTTCCTGTGTCACTGCATCATGACCTTAGATGGGAGTCTCCTTCATATGGTGTGTGTGTGTATATATATATATATATATATATATGTATATATAGTTAAGAAAAAAATGCTGTCTTTAATATAGGTATTTTGAATACTGGGAGAAAAAAAAAGTTAAAAAACCAACAATTCACATATTTTAGATTAAACAAAAGCATGCGAATAGCCTGCCCTAAGGGTTCTTACTACTGTTTCAATCTGGCCTCCCCTCAGTTCATTTTCTCACTCTTTGAATACCGCCCTATTTGTGGGCAGCCATTTCCTTCGGATGCTGCTCCTTCGGGACCTGCCCACCCCACCCCTCCCCCCAGCCCCTTAGTCGTCAGTTCCTCTTCCAACCACACACCTTCAGGACCTGCCCACTCCCCCCTCCCAGCCCCTTACGTCTTCAGTTCCTCTTCTAACCACACACAAGCGTCAAGGTCCAGGTGGTTGGTGGGCTCGTCCAGGAGCAGCATGAAGGGCCGAATGAAGAGGGCTCTGGGGGACAGGAAAGGAGAAGGGCCACCTGAGCCCAACGGGTGCTACACCGGGAAGAACTACCTTGCCTGCTACCTGCACTTCTGGGCAGGCCTGGCTTGAGTCCTGAAATCAATACGAAGCTCTATACCTCAGAGGAAAGGGGATAACTAGGAGGGAAACAAGAGTTGAAGACAGGAGGCTAAAGGGCAGAAAACAGGGCTGAGAAACAGCGGGATGGCGCAGTTTGGAAAGAAGGCTGTAGAAGTCCTTATGAGTCTAATGTCTTTTGCAATGAAGTTGGTGACCTCGGAAAGACAAAAGGATAGACAGGATATAAACTGCTAAAGCAAAAAGTATACAGGTTGAACCCATCTGGTGGGGTTGCCAGACTCTAGCAAGGAGGGGTTGCCAGACTCTAGCATCTGGTGGGGTTGCCAGACTCTAGAAAGAATGTTCTTTTCTTGGATGGAATCCCAAGACAGGACAAGCAACAGTTAGCTCTGATTCGCATATCTAGTCACCACACCTGCAGAGCCTTTTAGAAACAAGAATTCTGGGCACCAAACTCCATAGATCTGAAGCAGAGGCTAGGAAACCTGTATTTTTTAAAGCTCCTTAGATGACCCTAAGGCAGCGAATCTTTGCTGGCACATGGAACCACTGCGCTCACATTCCAAGGCACACAGCAGCCTTGCTGGAGCAGTGTATCAAGCCTCACCAGCGCACCTGGCAGAGAACAGCGGGATAAGCAGCCACCTATTTAACGGGGAATGTTCTGGAGTGACTGCTAGAATGACAGTCTACAGAAACTCGCTTTGGGTCCAGATCACAAGAGGATGAGAAGGACATATATATTAATAGTTAACATTTTACCTTTATACGTCAAGAATTAGAAGGACCGAAGCACAAAAAAGGGTGGAGAAGTTAGGAAGAAAAAAGAAACAGACCTTCTCTACCACTTTACCTAGGGCTGGTCCTACGATTCCTAAACACTGTGCCAGAAACCCCACAATGACCACTTCAGTCAGGAAGTTCACTCCTTGACCATAGCACACCATCCCTTTCACATCACTAATGTCTGTATCTTATTTGACACTTACTGACCACTGACCCCTATTCTAAACAGTCCCACCGGAGTGGGCATTCAACCCTGAGAAAGCCTAGGAGCTACAGAGGGTAGAGGAGGAGGGAGCAACTCACCTGGCAAGGGCAACCCTCATCCTCCAACCCCCACTGAAGTCTTTTAGCTTCTTGCGCTGCATGGCCGGTGTGAAGCCCAGTCCGTGCAAGATCCGTGAAGCCCGCATCTCTGCTTTGTCGGCATCCAGCTCCTCCAGTCGCTCATAGAGCTCCATGAGCTTCTCACACTCCGCTGTGGGCAGTGCATGGCCCATGAGGCTCTCTAGGCCTTTCCCGGAAGGAAGCCCACCCACATGCCCCTGGACCTGGTGCCCTACCATCCTCGTGAGCCAGCCGCTCTGCTTCCTTCTCCAGCATGGCCCGCTCTGTGTCAACTTCCATCACACACTGCAAGGGGGTCTTGTCACTAGGAGGCATCTCCCGAGTCAAATGGTAGATGTCGATGTGCTCAGGAATAGGCACCTCTCGTTTCCCGATGGCAGACAGCAGCATAGACTTTCCTGAGGGGCAGGCAAGGAACAGGAGACACTCAGCATGGCTATGCCTGTCATTCCCCACATCAGTTCTTCCACTCGGGCCAAACCTCGACCTCACCATTTTTTTGAGTACCTTCCCTCCTTATTCAATACCTGTTATCAGCCTCCCACCCATTCTTGGGCTGCCTTTTCAACTTTCCTCCAGTTCTTGTCCCACACCTCCTCTATGAGTTCTGTTCATCTACAGCAGCCTCCCCACTCTCCCCACCACCCTTTTCCAGCACCTACTGCCTATAACTACTCATGTGGTACTTACCACATACTGCTCTGTATTGCTAGTTCCTTTTCCCTGGGCATATCTGGTCTCCTACCCAAACTGTAAACGCCTTGCTTTGTACACAGCTGGTGCTAAGTAAACACCTTCTGAGAGACAGATGAGCCACGGAGAACTACCTCCCACCTTGCCTTCCAAGGGCCTCACCAATTCCATTTAAGCCAATGAGGCCATAACGACGGCCTGAGTTTAATTCCAGTTTGGTGTCACTAAGCAGCTCTTGACCGTGAAAGGTGAGGGAGAGGTTAATAATGTGGGCGTCAGTACTGTTGGGGTGAGAGGCGAGGACACCAGTGACAGCTCGAGCAGCAGCTTTCTTCATCTCAAAGTCCTCTAGCTCCTTGGTCAGCAAATCCACTTCTGGCGACAGAAAAGAAAAGCAGTTTGGGAAGGGCTGTAAGACGGACAGCTCTCACACAAAAAGGCACATCTGGATAGCTCAGTCAGGAGAGCACTGGACTTTCAATCTGAGGTTCTAGGGTTCAAGTCTGTATTTGGGTGTTTGTGGATTTTGCCCCTTACTAGGCAACCAAGTATTATCACACAAAGATCCAGATGCTGAAAAGACATGTCCTGAAGGAGCTGGGCTCAAGTTAGCAGACTTGGATGGTTTGTGAGCTTTAAAAAAGGTGCGCCTTGCATACAGCTCTGCCATAATATCTTGTTTCCACAGACACTTTTCACTTCACAACTTGTCCTTTTAATTCAAACTTCTCTTTTGTTCTTATATGACATAAATGCATGGGGGGAATGGCTAGAATTCCAAAGTGTCCCCCATACATGTATGTTAAAGAGTTAGTCCTAACGCTCAAAAGAAAGCAGACACAATAGAGGTTCACTTCCCTTACTCCAAGACCCAGAGAGCTTCCATATGGTGCTTCTAAGAAGCTATGCCACCCAGAAGAGGCTAGTGCGAGGGGCACAGAGGAATGACTGCAGGCAGAGTGAAGGCTGGGAAAACCATAAGTTCCCAGGTCTTGAGGGTTTCAGAGATGCAAACTGACCACAAGGTAAGAGACTAGCTGTTCCGCCTTTGTGGTTTTTCAGGCAGAATTACTTCTTTCGGCTGGGAAGAGCTGTAATGTGAATGCTAGTATTAACTGGCTAATAGATGTTGAGTTTACTCTGTGCCTGGGACTGGATTACTCATCATTCCCCATTTAACTTAATCCTCATAACCCTTACGAGATATACACCTCATTTAATAAATGAGATAATCCCCATTTAATAAATCAAGAGGTTTTAAATAACACAACCAAGGTAAAAAAGGCTCATAAATGAGAGTCAGAATACAAACCAGGGTTTGTCTGACCCCAAAACCCATGACCTTAACTAGTGCACTATCCTACCTTTCCATAAAGGAAAGAGCCCACAAGGTATTGTTGAAAGTGGGACAGAATTGGGGACAGAGGTTAAGTTTCTTCCAAAAGAGAAATAAGGTGATTTTTTAGTCTTTGTTACCCTCAGCTGTATTCCCTTAGTAATTTTAACAGAACTCCCCGAATGACAAAAGCCTGCACGTCTGTCTTCAGGAAGAGTAAAGATGGGGCAGAGAGGGTGAAGAGAGCTCAGTGCCCTCCTCTGACAGGCAGGCGTGGGAAAGCAGCTTCAAGGGAGAGGGCACGTGGTGGCTAGTCTTAGGTCACTCTCTGAGCACCCCATCATGCCTGGTGATTACAGAGCTGGTGCCATGACCACCCTGCTGCTAGACCTGCTCTGCCTGCAAGGAGCCAGCATGGAGGGCAGCGGTGGCCCCATCAGACAGACGGCAGTCACTCCAGACCAACCTCAGCTCCTGGTATAGTGTGTTACACAAAGGTGTTGGGGATGAATACTTTTCAATTGGAGGTCAAAGTTTTTGTTTTGACCAAAGAGAGGAGTTTTAAGTCTCTCTTTTCTACAAGGTTATCAGGCTTCCCAAAGCCCTGCTTTGTTCCAATCCCTGTTCTACATGTTGAGAAGAAGACAGACTAGGGAGAAGCTTATAATCTACATCAGGAATTGGTAGACTTTTTCTTAAAGGGCAAATATTTTGGGGTTTATGGGTCAACTGGCAAAATGGAGACTATCATATAGGTATGTATATTGCCATTTGAAATGTAACCACGTAAGAAATGTAAAAACCATTCTTAGTTTAGAAGGCCAGTGGCTTAAGAAAAGGCTGGCCAGATTTGACCAATTGTCTATTTTTGTAAATAAATTTTATTAAAACACAGCCACACTCATCATGATTACCACATATAATGTACGGGGTCGGGGGACACAGGGAAGGCAGTATAACACAGAGAAGACAAGTAGTGATTCTACAGCATCTTACTACGCTGATGGACAGTGACTGTAATGGGGTATGTGGGAGGGACTTGATAATAGGGGAAATCTAGTAACCATAATGTTGTTCATGTAATTGTACATTAATGATAGCAAAAAAAAGAAAACATAGCCACACTCATCATTTACATATTGTCTGTGGCTACCTTCTACTACAACGGCAGAGTTGAACAGCTTCAACAGAGACCATATGGCCTGTGAAGGTACAAATATCTGCTAATTGATTCTTTACAGAAAAAGTCTGTTGATTCCTGGTCTAGCTCTCCAACTGCTCATACAAGAGGAAGATCAAAATTAAGGGGAAGCTACATAACATTTTTCTCTTGATCTCTTCCAGTTTATATCATCTATGACCTAAGTCATCTCCCAAGCTTCAAAAATAAGAGACTTGAATATATCTCACTGTCCTAGCCTACAGCATCCCACAGAATAGGCTCAAAAGTGAAAGCACTGCAGATGAAAAAAGGATTCTGGAACAAACTCATCACAGAGTATATTGTAGACTTCACAAGAAATCCCATTTACTCATTCCCTGAAGGGGACAAGCTGAACGACAGTGCCTATCTGGAAGAGTCTCATATTCTAAAGGTTCTGACTATCAGATTCTTTGATATTTATCTTGATTTTTCCATATCTTACTACTTAAGGGAAGTCATGTGGCAATGGAAATTGATAAAGGTTGGAGAATGGTGACCTGCAACACCAAGTAATCCCAAACTCAGGGAGGAGAGAGAACCCAGTGCTGGGAGAGGGAGCAAATGACCCACTAATTACGAAAACTGAAGATGCTAGTTCCTGGCAGTAAGAAATGTTTGAGAGGGTTGGAAAGAAAACAAACTTCACATTTCATAACAGTAGCTCCCTAAGCAAGCAGAATGAAAACCAAAGTTCCTGTATTAATGAAATGGGGCTACTACAGCTGGGTTACCTGGGAAATTCTATATTCCTAGGAGGAAAGGTGAACAAAAGTTTGTAATAGGAACAGTGGACACTCATCTCAAAGAGGGATTCAGTTTTCTCCCTTTCCAATTCATCCAGAAAGTACCTACAGAACTGATGACAGATACTGCTTAACTGTAGTTCCGGAGCGCCTGGAGGTGACCCCATCTCTCTACTTTAGAGATCACAGCTCAGACCTCTTGCTTACTCCCATCATTCTTAACTTCGCATCCCTCTACTACTCTGGGCAGCAATAAGATGGCCTGACTTTCATGCACCAGTTTTTTCCCATAATTCTTATTTTGGTGACAATTCCTACCACCTAACTCTCTCAGTCATTTTTAACTCCTCCTTTTCTCAATTCCTATGTGTCTGTTATGATTTGTCTCAGTAATCCTCCTCCCCTCTTCAAACATTTACTTAGTATGTCTATCTACAAGTCTGGTCCTACAAAAATGTATTACCCAAGACACGATCTCTGCCTTCAAAGATCAAACAATTTAGATGAAGAAACAGAAAATAAAATGTTTAAAAAAAACCACTATAAGGTAGCCTAGGAGTATAGTAAATGGTAATATTATTAAGGTCAGATTTGGCTGGGACGGGTTTTGATATCTTAAGCTGGGCCCTGAGAGAAATTGTCAAGTAAAACTAGCACAAAAATTGTGGTATTAGAATTCGAAAAGGACAGAAATGTGGTGACTGTTCAGTAGGGAGCAGAAGACCTGTTTAGGAAGTTTTCAGGGGACATGGAAGAAGGCTAGGAATAGACTGCCAAGGGCCTGAAATACTTACCACATATTGCTATGCTTTCCCATCTAGATGGTGGGTTATCAGAGGGCAGACTGTGTTTATAGTACCTCAGAATGTAGCAGAGTGCCTAGCACTTGAGAAGTGATTTCCCAAAATATAAGTAACAGAAAGGCATTTCTTTCCCAGAAAAAAAACAAAAAACAAAAAAATTCCTACGTTTTGCTTTTGGTGGTACCATCGCTATTCCTGGAAGGACAAGGGTATAGTGAGACAAAGCACCCAGGCCCCTGACCACCCTGTGGAGAAATGGGAACTAAGAAACGGACAGGGAACGGACCTTCTCCTCATAGTCTAGCAAAGTGGCAAGACAGCACAATTCCCACATTTGCTGGTCACCTAATTATGTGTGAGAACCTTGAGCTCAGTTTCCTTGACCAACAAGCTCCAACTCTACTGGTTTCGTTCATTGTGAAAAGTTTTGTGTCAGATACACTCCCCAGCGCCCCCAGCATCAGGATTCTGAGCCTCTGAAGTGGTAGCAACCATCCCAGAAACCCACCTGTCCCTCAATTCACCTGTGGTCTCTTGGCCATTGGCCTCATTTTTCTCCTCTGCCACCTGTGGTTCTGTGACAGCATCTCCGTCTTCCTCATGTCCCTTTCTGGGGCGCTGTCGTGCTTTGGCAGCTTCCTTCTTTTTAGCTGCCTTCTTCTTAGCCAGGTCAGAAGGCATGATGATGAGCCACAGGAATATGTTACTGTTCTTACAGGAGGCCTGAAGGAAGGCAAACACCCCGCAATTCTAAACTTCCAGGAGAGTGCCTGGGCCTGCTCCACCCCTCTCGGATTTTCCTCTCGAACCTCCGATCCCCAGCTCCGCTGCTGCCACTCGCTCCCAGCTTCTCAGGGTCTCCAAGCCGGTACTGATTCCCGGCCGCTCCTCTAACCCGAGCATCTCTTCCCTCAGGCTTTGTCCCCCATCCCCACTGCCTCAACGCTCCTCCTCACGGGCCTCTGGTCCGGGAGCAGTTCTGCCCCTCGGCAGCGGTCCGGTCTCCCGTTTTCCCAGTTCGCGCTCCGCGCTCCGGCCGGCCGCCTCACTTCTCCGGCTTCCTTCTCCTGTCTGCCTCGGACCTCCTCCGCACCACCTGGCCGTCGGGCTCAGCTTCCTCCCGGATCGCACTCGCTCTCCGCCCGGTGAGTCTTCTCAGGGTCTTCCCTCGCCACCCCCCGGACCTTCTCCAGTCCCCGCCCGTCAGCTTCTCTCCCTTGGTCCTTTCTTCTCCCTCGCAGTCTCCTCCATCCCAACCCCGTTCCCCCTCCCTCTTCTCGTGATCCCCACCACCCACTCCCCACCGGCCGGCACCCTCCCCGCAGCGCCCCTTCTCCCAACTCACTGGGCCTCGCCGCTCGGCCTCTGTCGCCACAGAGCTGTTCCTGGCGGCTCCTCCGCGTGCGGCCGGCTTACCAGCCAATCACGGATTCGCGCGCCTCTCGGCGCGCCGGCGCGCGGACTCCTGGGAAGTGTTGTCCTTCAGGCGCGGAGGTCAAAGTGATACCCCTCCTCGAGAACTACCGCGTATCCGGGGGCCTCGCGGGTCTTCGTGACGTCATCAGAATGCGCGAAACTGGAAAAATTAGAGTCCGAGAATCCTTTGCCAGGTTGCCCGCTTTGGGCCCTGTAAACTGCAACTCCCAGACTCCTCCTCGGGTAACCGGGCTGGTCTTTCCAGGCTTTACCCCACCTCTCGAAAATTTGTTGAAGAATTTGGAGATAACCGAGTTATAGAGCCGCACAGCCGGCTCAGGAGCGGGGCTAGTGACTACACTTCCCAGCATGCAGCATGCGATAATGGGTCGAAACAATGGGGAGATGGGGGAAGAGAAGGGAAGGTGGTTGGTTCAGAGAGCGAGAAAGAAGCGCAGTACTACTAAGGTGATGTGAATAGACTTCCTTCTTGAAAGACAGGCGCCTTCGTTTCGTGTAACCGAGATTTTAGAGACTGGTCCAGTGTTAATCAAACTTTTAGAAGGTGCTGAATGTGTTCCTGAACCTTGGCTTCTTAGCCTGGGCGTTCCAGAATTGCTGGGTTTCCATCCAAGCCACTTTGTTTGGAGGGAAGAGCCCTGAAGTAAAAAACAAGACCCATCTTTTGAGTTTAGCTGTATCATCAGTCATGTGACCTTGCTCATTGCTTTTCCTTTGAGTCAATTTAAAATCTCTCACAAGACTTCTTATGGACCACGATGTAAACCCCAAATTTGTTGATTACGCATTTGTGGAGTATAAAAACAAGGCAAAACAGAAGGAACAAAATAGCAGTAGACTCATAGATACCGAGAAGGGACTAGTGGTTACCAAAGGGGAGGGGCTGGGGAGGGAGAAGGAGATTAAGGGGCACTTATAATTGGCAATCAATATAGGTAGATCCCCGGGACGGTAGTACAGCAGGGAGAATACAATGACTCTATGACATTTTACTATGTTGATAAACTGCCGTGGAGGGGTGAGGACTTGATAATATGGGTGAATGCTGAACCACTGTGTTGTGTATTTGAGACCATCATAAGATTGTATACCAATGATACTTGAATTTTTTAAAAATCCCAAATTTGTATCCCCAAATACAAGGCCCTTTGTGCCCCATGTTATTTCTTCAGGCTTGTGACCAACAATGCATCACCATCAGTGACACAACTGCTGGAAAGCAAAAAAAGCTTTTACTCCTTCTGAGCATGTTCTCCAAAAGTGGCCTCCCTGACCCTTTTAAAAAAGGAGCTCCTGTCCCTTACTAGTTTTCCTCCTCAAACTGGATGCTCCAGTAGACTCTTAACTACTTGTATTTCAAGTAAGGCATGTTATTTCATATCTTCATGGCCCTGAGCATACCTTTTTCTAGAATACCCTCCACTAATTAAGTGCCCACTATATGTCAGGCTCAGGGCTAGATGCTAGATTTGCCATGGTGACAAGTTATTCACTGACTTCAGGGAGCTCACAATTAAGGAGGAACATTTAAAAAGTAAACAGACTAGGACATTCAGGTGATAAGTGCCATGTAAAAAGTGACTTCTGTGTGCTACTGGAGTGTACCTGGGCAGGGACCTCACTTGACATAGCATAACTAAGAGCATGAATTCTGGGGGCAGTCTGCCTACATTCAAAATCCAGCTCACCCATTTACAGTGTGTGACCTTGGGCAAAATACAGACTCTCCTCTGTAAAATGGGAATGATGATAGTACTTACCTCATGGTTGTTAGAAAGATTGGTTTAATTCTTGTTAATTAGCTAATTGTTACTTGGCCAGAGTTCTGTTAGGCTTCTTTCTTGCCTTTGCTACGAGTAGAATCCTTGCCTACCTATGCACTAGATATTTATTTAATGTAATACATTTAACAAATATTAAGCATCTACTATGGGCAAAAGTATTGGTTTAGGTAAAGAAAAAAGAATAGTTAATTGACTTCAAAGCACTTCTTTATGACAAAGAAGTTATGTGTGGATGCAGATCACATACAATCATTCATCCCAGCACCTAGCTTCCTGGGGCACTATCTACAGAGTATGCCTGCCTCTCCCAGCCTCATTCACATGTGTGGCTACCGGCAGATTACAGGTTCCAGAGAACAATTATTTATTATGCTCTTACATTTATGCCATCCCATTTAATCCTCCTAACAAAGTCCAAGGTTGGATTATTACCACTTTAAAGATTGGAAATGAAAGTACAGAGCTGTTAATAAAACAACACTGCTGGTAGAAGAGTGCCAGAATTTGAGGGAGGAATCTCCCAGTTCTGTAACTCCAGGTCTGTCCAATGGCTTGGGAGGGCAAGAAAAAGATTAGCTAGTTACTTCTCTGAATCCAGCTGCATAGCAACCAACCACATCCATGATTTCCCATGAATCAACAGTTGCTGGGCTGAGTCTCCCTCAGCACAGGAAGAGTGGCTTAGAAAACTTGTTAGCCACTTAGAAGTTCTGCCATTCCCACCCCAGGTTTAGATCTCTTGCAGGGAACAGACCTGGAGATGAGAGGACTTAGAAATGGGGAAATGGGAGGGAGAGAGAAAGATGTGGGTGGAGAGGAGGACTGGATGTATATGAAAAAGTACCGGTCAGTACTAGAAGCAAAAACATTGTGGCCTAGACTTTTCTTTTAAAATATGAAGAAACTGAGAGCCAAGAAAGAAAATGCCTCATCCAGAATTACCTACAAACATAATAACTGAGAAGGGCCTGGAACTATGCTATTCAATGTGGTAGCCTCTAGCCACATGTGGCTATGGAGCCCTTGAAATGTGGCTAGTCCAAGATGAGAAATACTGTAAGTGTAAAATATTCATTGGATTTCAGAATTGCATGTGGAAAAAAATGTAAAACAGCTCAATTTCTTATACTGATTACATGTGATAATATTTTGAATATATGTAATAATATAATGAAATATATTAATAAAATTAATTTTACCTGCTTTTTCTTTTTTTAAAATGTGGCTATCAGAAAATTTTAAATTACAAATATGGCTCACATTGTATTTCTATTGGACAATACTAGTCTGGAACCTGAATCTTCCAGACTCCATGAGGGTGTCCCTACTGTGCTCCCCAGAGTCTCTTCTAACCAGTTACTCATTTTCCACCTATTATGTGCCAGTTGCTGAGGGGAGATTAAACTGAAGTCTGAGGATAAGACCAAAACACAGTAAAGGGTAACAGTGCCAGTGAGTTCTTATATACTTTTTAGAATGGTGGTCCTTAACTGTACCAGCCCCAATGTTCCCTTTTAATAGCAAACATTCTTTTGTAACATGCCCTTTACTATTTTGAGGTAAAGCTCATACGTGGTATAACCTAACTATACACATAAGTTTCAAAAAAGGATAGTTTCTTAACCATAGCAGAAGAAAAAAAGGAAATCCCTTCTAATAAAGTTATTATAGTATGCTAAAAAAACAGTTAGTCATATGCATGTACCTATATGTAAGATCCCTTTGAATGCAACAGTACAAATGCAGGCAGAATACCATGGGTGACACTACTGTCCACAATATAGCTCTCCAAAACGGTAACTCTTAGTAAATTCCTGATCAAAACCAAGTACAATCTCCTTTCCACTTACATGACAGTTACAGTCTGTGAAAATTCAGCCTGTTACAACCATGCAAAATTATTTTTTTATATATAAAAATTATATATAAAACACAGGCTCAAGGATCAGCCGATTTTATTTTCAATTACATAAATGTTGAGTAGGACATTTGAAAGCCCTGTGGGACAGACAATTCCCTCTGTGATACTGTCTTGCAATGTGCAAGACATTTAGCATTCTTGGCTCCTCCCCTCAACTATTTGATAACGAAATTGTCCCATACTCTTCCAAAGTGCCCTCTAGGGATGTGCCAACCTGGTTGAGCCAACCCTGTGGTTGTTAGAAGGCCCTGCCGCTCCTCCAGGCTCCTAGGCTGCCTGGTTATTCTCTGGCCCAGTATCTTTCCTTTCATGGGGCCCTCCATGCTGCTTTTTGCCTGGAAAACTCCTCCACTTTTAGTTTGGGTAACTTACTGAACCTTTGGACTTCAGTTTTCCCAAACTCTGTCATATTTAATTCTTCCTGACATGTTTTTCCACAGGACGCTACTTTTCTACAATGGCACTTATGACAGTTTGTGATTTCTACCTAAGTTTACAGTTTCGTTATGTCAGTAGGTGTTTAATGTCAGCCTCCCTCAACCATCAGCTCCCTGAGGGCAGGACCCAGGCTCACCCGTCTCCCACGTGTTTACTCGGTACTCATGACGATGTCCTGGAACTTAGTAGGCAAACACATTTTTGAACTGAGTGGATGATGCGGTTCAAAGCCCATAGGGAGAAGTCCAGGAGGCAGAAGCAGGCTGGTTGAGGGTGCAAGTCCGGGGAAAGGAAATCCAGGGCAAAATACCTCTAAAAACCAAATCAGTCAAAGGGAGAAATAAAGTTTAAAATCCATTTATTGCTCACAAACTGCAGTCTGGGTCCTTCTCTCTTTCCTGCTCCAGCAGAAGCAAAACTGACCCTCCCCCCCTCACCGCTCAGGTACAGATATGCCCTCTGTTGCCCAGGTAATTACCCACTGATATGGAGATGAACTTCTCTCCACCCATGAGGAATGATGCAAATGCACTAAAGCCGTAACTTTATTCCACCGCTGAAGGCCTATTGATATGCAGATGTATTAAAGCCAGGCGAGAAATTCTACAAGTATTACAATTTTACCCACAGAGGGAGAGGGTGTTTTTTCCAGGACAGGTGGGGGTTGAGGTTGAAGATTTGGGGAACCTTGGGGGTCCAGTCTGGGTCCGCTCGAATAGCGTCGGTAGGATGCACGATTGTAATCGAGACCAGGCGGCTGGCTGGGCCGACAAACCGTGTAGCCCTACGGCGGGTGCGCCGTACAGGGAAGGGGCGGAGCGACCATAGAGGGGGCAGTGGCGGCGCGAGCGGCCGGATGCGGTCACCATAGAGACGGGGGCTGACAGCGAACGGAAGAGGAAGGAGCTGGCCGGGCTGTGAGGTGGCAGCGGTTGCAGCGGCGGAGCCGGCGCCTCGGCTGGGCACTGGGGTCTGTTCCCCCTTCCCCGCCTTTCCCCTGCAAGGGCGACGCTCCCGCGCTCAGGAGCCGGTCTGCCCCCGCACCCTCGCCCGCGCTCCTGGACCGCGCTGGCCGCGTCGGCCACGCCCGGGCAGCCCTTTATCCGGCCGCTGCCGCCCCTGACCCTGCCACAGGGGCCTCCCCCTGTGCTGTCGTTCGCCCGCTGGCGCAGTGAGGGCCCTCGCCCCGCCGACGAGCCCGAGAACAGTCTCTGCCCTCCTTTCCCAGCCGCCAGCTCCATTGCCGTCGCGCGCGGCGGGGACAAACCGAGCTGGGTCCCCCTGCCCCTCCTCATCAGCTGCGTGACGCAGTCGGTTTTGTTTTCAGGCTAACGGCTGAAACTCGCCTTGGGCCTGCTTTCCAAGACTAGAATTGGTCTTTGATCGCTGAGAGGTAGAGTAGGGGCACCGGGCCTGGCAACGATCACATCCGAAGCCCGCCGAGCCTCCGTTTGTTTTCACAGGAGCCTTGCGTTGTCTCTAGCTGCTTCTCGACCTCTTGATTTAGTTTGGTTTGGGTGCCTGGGACCCGGATAAAAACAGACATCGAATTGCTCGAACTCAGCGGGAGTTACTGTCATTTGCCTCCTGGCTCATAGAGGAAGGTGGGTAGCACCAGCCTCAACGCAGCTGTGATTTGGAGAATAATGCCCCGCAGAATGGCTCCATCAGCCATTGTGCTTCTCTGACAAAGAGGCTGTCAGTGTTGAGTCACCATATCTGTCCACCTCATTTGGATGGGCAGGACTTCTGTGTGCCATGAAAGTGGCTCCTGACCACTCCTGACTGGGAGGAGGGGTTGCTCTGGCGGTGTGTTTCCTCAACACCCAGGAGTAGAGTGGAAAGGGGTCCCAGCCCCTTCCCTGTGCCTGCCTTCAGCAGCTAGTTGGCAGCCCCTTTGGTAAATTGAGAGAGAAACTTGCCCTGAGCAAGGTGCAATTTGGGAAAGGCCTACCGAGTCAGGCTTCTCTAGCTAGGGGCCATTGCTCTGTTGGAGCATGTGCTTTTCCCACCTCCTTTATCAGTTGCTGCTGTCTCTTGACTTTAGTCCAGTCTGCCAATGTCTGTAGTCTTCCTTTTTGGGTTAGCTTTGACAGGATTGAGTTTTGTTACCTCCCCTTTCTACTGGAAGACAGACCATAATCCTGATTCTAATATTTATTACCATTTGCACTGAGGGTTAGGTCTGGCACCCTGAGGAGTGAAAACCAGGCAGACGCTGTCTGGAGATGCTCGGCCTGCAAGTCTTGGAAAGAAAGCCCAAAGCGAGTTTCAGGCCTTACTCTGTTACTGACTTCATGGAACTCAGGTTCCCTAGTTAGAACTGCTGGCCTACTGCTGGCCTGGCACCCACCAACCTGTTGATCAATCCTTGCAGTGGTGCCCTCTGGGGCATGCACGTGGCAGGGCCCACCACCATGAGACTGAGTTCCCTGTTGGCTCTGCTGCGACCAGCACTGCCCCTCATCCTAGGGCTGTCCCTGGGATGCAGCCTGAGCCTCTTGCGGGTTTCCTGGATCCAGGGTGAGGGAGAAGATCTCTGTGTAGAGGCTGTTGGGGAACTGGGAGGGCCACAGAATCCAGACTCAAGAACCCGGCTCGATCAAAGTGATGAAGACTTTAAACCCCGGATTGTCCCTTACTACAGGGATCCCAATAAGCCCTACAAGAAGGTGCTCAGGTGAGAGCTACATGTGTGTGGAGTCCCCGGACCCCAGTTCAGGACTGCTGTAAGCCCTTGCCCCTGCCTTCACTGGCAATCAGTGTCAGGCTCCTCTGGAGCAATTCTTTGCCTTATTATCCATCATGGTTTGATCCTGTTTTTTCCCTTCTCCTCAGGTGGGAGAACGTCTCACCCATCGGTGTTAGTGTTGGATGTCCATAAATAAGGCAGAAATTAAGTCTAATGCATCCTTAGTAGACCCTCCCCAAATCAATTTCGGTGTCAGCTACTCTGGATGTTCACTCCAGTAGCTCAGTAATATTGATGAGGAGGTCTCTCTCGTCTCTCTTCTCAGCCCCAACTCATTAGGGGGATGTTTATGCTGCACAAGCTGGGTTCCTAAAGAATAGGGAGTTGACTCTTGGCATGCTGGTCTCTCCACAGGACTCGGTATATCCAGACAGAGCTGGGCTCTCGTGAGCGGTTATTAGTGGCTGTTCTGACTTCCCGGGCCACACTGTCCACTCTGGCTGTGGCTGTGAACCGCACAGTGGCTCACCATTTCCCACGGTTACTCTATTTCACTGGGCAGCGAGGGGCTCGGACACCAGCAGGAATGCAGGTGGTATCTCACGGGGACGAGCGGCCGGCCTGGCTCATGTCAGAGACCCTGCGCCATCTTCACACACACTTTGGGGCCGACTACGACTGGTTCTTCATCATGCAGGATGACACGTATGTGCAGGCCCCCCGCCTGGCAGCCCTTGCTGGCCACCTCAGCATCAACCAAGACCTATACTTGGGCCGAGCAGAAGAGTTCATTGGTGCAGGCGAGCAGGCCCGGTACTGCCATGGGGGCTATGGCTACCTGTTGTCACGGAGTCTCCTGCTTCGACTGCGGCCACATCTGGATGGCTGCCGAGGAGACATTCTCAGTGCCCGTCCTGATGAGTGGCTTGGCCGCTGCCTCATCGACTCTCTGGGCATCGGCTGTGTCTCACAGCATCAGGTGACAGCCCTTCCAAGTCAATCTTGGTACCTAACAAGTTAGTGACTGAATGATTGGTCTCTAGTCTGGGTGCTGCTCACCCCTTCCCTGCAGCACCTAGGTGTTTGGCTCTTTCCAGCCACCGACTGCCCCTCTGGCTTTTCCTTGCTCACTGCAGTCTTAGAATCCTGAGGCTGTCAAAAGTGGCATCTTGTTGGGAACCCTCCGAGTAAGACAGAAAAGTGCCCCAACTTACCAGTCCTCTCATTTGCCCCCTGTCCTCCGACCCCTCCCCTGACACACACCGTTGTGAATGATCTGGAAATGTCCTAGAGAGGGCCACTCTCGGAGAGGAGTAAGGTAATCACTTTTTTAGCACAGAGAGCTGCCCTGTTTGTTGGAGAGGAGGGGATGACCTGCAGGGAGCTATCCTCCCAAGCCAGAGTATTGGGAGCATTTACTGGCTCATGGCTTTCATTCCCTTGAGAAACGGGTTCTTTAGGGGAAAAGGGCATTACCTAGTTACCCACGTAACATTCTCCTTTCCAAAATCTGGCAGTGAGAGTAAGGCCAAGGTGAAAGGGACACTGCAATGAGCTCCTGTTCCCTCCTCCCTTCTGTGGCAGTGGAGTAATAGTTGTGAATGCTGAGTTGAGTTGAAGGTAGTTCAGACAGGCAGCTCTCCATGTGTGGCATTGACTGGTCTAATTGGTCTCTCTAGGGGCAGCAGTATCGCTCATTTGAACTGGCCAAAAATAGAGACCCTGAGAAGGAGGGGAGCTCGGCTTTCCTGAGTGCCTTCGCGGTATACCCCGTCTCCGAGGGAACCCTCATGTACCGGCTCCACAAACGCTTCAGTGCTCTGGAGCTGGAGCAGGCGTACAGTGAAATAGAACAACTGCAGGTGAGCCAGGGGAGCACGGCTGGAGGTCAGAGGCAGCTTTAGGTGCCCAGGCTCACAAGGAGCAGGCCGCTGAGTAAGAGGGGAGGCAGGGCGGGGTAGAAGGGAGCTGACCGTAATGACTGTAAGACAGCTCCGGGGAGAAAGGGCTCTTGGGAGTCCAAGTCAGTCACAAGAGAAGCCCCTGGTATGACTTGGATGCAGGTCAAAGGGTTTGTAGATGAATTTTGAGGATTGGGGCTTAGCACAGTGCTGAGACAAAACAGTTCATGCTTCTCTCCAGTAGTGCCTCTCCACCAAGGAGGCAAAACCCAGAACTTCCTGAACATCTAGCACTGTCCTTAAAAAGCCCAGGGTAGAAATAAAATTCTCGAGTTGATCGTGGGGGCTGTGAGAAGTGGGGTACAGGTGAAAACAAAGGCCCCGTCATGAAGAGGATGTGAGTACTTTGGTGGAAGGGAGAGAAAAGTGAGAGCTTTCTATTTCAGGATGCTCTGCCCTCCACAAAAGCACATTTTCCACCTCTTCTCACGGCAGTTGTGTAAGGTGGGTATGGTTCACATACCTGCTGCATTTTACGGACGAAGAAGGTAAAGTACAGGGAATTAAATGATTAACCAAGGGGTGCCTCAGTAAGCACTGATGCAGTCAGGACAGAGCACAGAGCCCAGGAGGCCAGAGCTGGGTAGGGTCCTGACTGCCAAGAGGGCACTAACTGCATGCCTCCTACCCTAGGCTCAGATCCAGAACCTGACCGCGCTGACCCCTGAAGGGGAGGCAGGGCTGAGCTGGCCCATTGGGCTCCCAGCCCCCTTCACACCGCGCACTCGATTTGAGGTGCTGGGCTGGGACTACTTCACTGAGCAGCACACCTTCTCCTGTGTAGATGGGGCCCCCAAGTGCCCACTGCAAGGGGCCAGCAGGGCAGATGTGGGCGACGCTGTGGAGACCGCTTTGGAGCAGCTCAATCGGCGCTATCAGCCCCGCCTGCGCTTTCAGAAGCAGCGGCTACTAAATGGCTACCGGCGCTTCGATCCGGCGCGGGGCATGGAGTACACCCTTGACCTGCTGCTGGAAGCTGTGACACAGCGTGGACACCGGCGGGCCCTGGCCCGCAGGGTCAGCCTGCTGCGGCCACTGAGCCGAGTGGAAATCTTACCTATGCCCTATGTCACTGAGGCCACCCGTGTGCAGCTAGTGTTGCCACTCCTGGTGGCCGAAGCTGCTGCGGCCCCTGCTTTCCTTGAGGCCTTTGCAGCCCGTGTTCTGGAGCCACGAGAGCACGCGTTGCTTACCCTGTTGCTGGTCTATGGGCCTCGGGAAGGTGGCCGAGGGGCCCCAGACCCATTTCTCGGGGTGAAGGCTACAGCAGCTGAGTTAGAGCGACGGTTCCCTGGGACAAGGCTGGCTTGGCTTGCTGTGCGCGCAGAGGCCCCCTCCCAGGTGCGGCTCATGGACGTGGTCTCTAAGAAGCACCCCGTGGACACACTCTTCTTTCTCACCACCGTGTGGACCAGGCCTGGGCCTGAAGTCCTCAACCGCTGCCGCATGAATGCCATCTCCGGCTGGCAGGCCTTCTTCCCGGTCCACTTTCAGGAGTTCAACCCAGCGCTGGCACCACAGAGATCTCCCCTAGGACCTCCAGGGGCTGGCCCTGACCCCCCGTCCCCTCCTGGTGCTGAGCCTTCCCGGGGGACTCCCGTAGGTGGCAGGTTTGACAGACAGGCTTCCACGGAGGGCTGCTTCTACAACGCTGACTACCTGGCGGCCCGAGCCCGGCTGGCTGGCGAGCTGGCAGGCCAGGAAGAGGAGGAAGCCCTGGAGGGGCTGGAGGTGGTGGATGTTTTCCTCCGGTTCTCAGGGCTCCACCTCTTCCGGGCCGTGGAGCCAGGGCTGGTGCAGAAGTTCTCCCTGCGCGACTGCAGCCCTCGGCTCAGCGAGGAGCTCTACCACCGCTGCCGCCTCAGCAACCTGGAGGGGCTGGGGGGCCGTGCCCAGCTCGCCATGGCTCTGTTTGAGCAGGAGCAGGCCAACAGCACCTAGCGCGCTGCCCTGGCCTGGCCCCTCCTCGTAGTTCCCTTTCTGCCTCAGCTCTGGGCAGGGCAAGGCAAGATGGATGGACAGATGGAGAGCTTGTTGCTGTATTTTTTTAATAAGAAAATGTTATTAAAAGCATCTTCTGCCACATTATTTTTAGGTGTAGGGAAAATGGAGAAAGGAGAAGTATCTGGGGGGCTGGGAGGCGATTTCCCAGGGGGACCCACTGCCTTCCCTTTCCCCCTTCCTCCCCACTTGCCAATGACACACGGGGCTGCTATCAGATGCATAACCTTTAATCCACCCAGAAGGTGTCAGAGGAGTGACAGCAGAGCCCTGGGGAATGGGGCAGCCCCAAGGCCTCCACAGACGCTCATTCACAGGGGCTCCTAGGTGTTGCGCACAACCAGTGACTGCTCCAGCTCCTGCCTGCGCTGCTGGATCTTTAGAGAGATGAGAGCAGTAGCAGGGTCACAGTGCTGCTGGTGAGTGCCAGGGCCACCCCAGCCACCCGCTGCCCTGGAAGAGCATCTGGGAGATGGTGAGGGGGTGTGGATTGCCAAAGGCAGCTGACAGGGCTGAGAAGGGAGGTTTCTCGTGGAGTAGGGGAGGGGGGCAACCCGGCTGGCTGGCGAGCTGGCAGGCCAGGAAGAGGAGGAAGCCCTGGAGGGGCTGGAGGTGGTGGATGTTTTCCTCCGGTTCTCAGGGCTCCACCTCTTCCGGGCCGTGGAGCCAGGGCTGGTGCAGAAGTTCTCCCTGCGCGACTGCAGCCCTCGGCTCAGCGAGGAGCTCTACCACCGCTGCCGCCTCAGCAACCTGGAGGGGCTGGGGGGCCGTGCCCAGCTCGCCATGGCTCTGTTTGAGCAGGAGCAGGCCAACAGCACCTAGCGCGCTGCCCTGGCCTGGCCCCTCCTCGTAGTTCCCTTTCTGCCTCAGCTCTGGGCAGGGCAAGGCAAGATGGATGGACAGATGGAGAGCTTGTTGCTGTATTTTTTTAATAAGAAAATGTTATTAAAAGCATCTTCTGCCACATTATTTTTAGGTGTAGGGAAAATGGAGAAAGGAGAAGTATCTGGGGGGCTGGGAGGCGATTTCCCAGGGGGACCCACTGCCTTCCCTTTCCCCCTTCCTCCCCACTTGCCAATGACACACGGGGCTGCTATCAGATGCATAACCTTTAATCCACCCAGAAGGTGTCAGAGGAGTGACAGCAGAGCCCTGGGGAATGGGGCAGCCCCAAGGCCTCCACAGACGCTCATTCACAGGGGCTCCTAGGTGTTGCGCACAACCAGTGACTGCTCCAGCTCCTGCCTGCGCTGCTGGATCTTTAGAGAGATGAGAGCAGTAGCAGGGTCACAGTGCTGCTGGTGAGTGCCAGGGCCACCCCAGCCACCCGCTGCCCTGGAAGAGCATCTGGGAGATGGTGAGGGGGTGTGGATTGCCAAAGGCAGCTGACAGGGCTGAGAAGGGAGGTTTCTCGTGGAGTAGGGGAGGGGGGCAGCCTGAGGTGCGTGGGCCCCTCCACACCTTGCAATAGAAGTAGCGGCTGACGGCTTCCTGGGACCAGGGCTGGTGGTAGAACTCAGCCCGGCGCTCCTCCTCAGGGTTGCCTGCCACATCTGTCATCACCTGGGAGGGACAGTGGGGTCAATCCTGAGCCCGGACCCCCTCCAGCCCCTCTGTACAATGCTTACTGTCTTCCCAATATGCTTGTCTTCCATCCAGTGCTCCCTGAGTCCCCTTCACCTTGAGGTCCCGGCTCTGGGAGCGGAGCAAGTCCTGGATGTAGCCTTTGGGGTCTCTGGAGAAGCTTAGCATGAAGTCCCTCTGGATCTTGAGCTGGTTTATGGACTCAATCGTCTCATGGATCTGCAGGTAGAAAGACAGACACTTTCACCTGGTCGTGGTGATGTGGGGGAGGAGGGGAAGGACGGGGGCAGGTTGGGGGAGGGATTTGGTGCTGCTCCTATGAAGGGCAGTCCCTCAGGTCCCTGATGCCTCTGCAGCCCTGGGGAAGGGGAGGGATGGGCAGAGCACCAAGTAGCAAGAGAAGGGCCACCGGTCCCCTCCATGTCTCCACAGGCCCATGCTCTCTCCTGTTCTGGCTAGACTTGGTCATTTCCGGGTCAATGTCCCCCTCCAGCTCTAGGCTCTGGCCCCACCTTACTGTCCAGAGCACTGATCTCCTGCTGGTTGGCCGTGGACAGGAGGAAGCTGCTCATCTGCCCCTTCAATGGCTCCTCCACCTCCACATCAATGTCATAGCACGCTGTCTTCTTCTGGTCCGACGGGTCCACGCTGCCGGGGAAGTCCAGCCCTTGGGCTCATGCACTACCCGCCACTGGCCCCCAGCAGAGGCCAAGGGCCGCTGGGGCAGATGCAGTGGGGAGGGAGGGGAAACTGGTGGAAGGAAAAGGGAGGGAGGGTAGGACCACAATGATTCCCTGGTCTGAGGAGCAAGCTGGGGCCTCACCTGATGACATGGTTGATGACAATCGGGTCAGGGGGCAATAGCAGAGCTGTGAGGCGCTGGGGAATCTCAGAAAACTTCAGCCGAGGGCAATCAAAAATCTGAAGTAGGAGAGAGAGAGAGCACTCTTCCATGCTCGGAAAGAACGTAACTGCAGTTCATGACCCTTCCATCTGGAAGGCCACAAGAAGCCAGGATCAAGTCTTCATTCCTCCCTGCTCATTGCTGGTCCTAGGGTGGCTGTGGGGCTGGTGCAGGCAGGGAGGTGGGTTGGTCAGTGCAGTGGTTGGGAGCACAGGCCCCGGGTCGGCCTGCCTAGGCTTACTGCTGCCTCTATGGCTTACTATGCCACCGTGAATGAGTTGCCACGTCAGGCCCATTTCTTCTCATCTGGAGTGGGGATAATAACAGCATTTCTGTCACGGGGTGGTTGTGAGCATTAAATGAACCAGCGCACACAAGCGCTGGAGTAGTGCCTGGCATATGTGGCATGTGGTAAGTGCTCAATAAACACCAACTTAATTTTACTCCTCATGTTTATCTGCTGTATTTATTTAGAAGTTATTAATAATCTCTACTTTGGTAGAATTTTGTCAGATCACTTGACAGCAGCGTGATTTTCCTAATGCCCAATGAGTTAGATGGCACAGGTGGCATTACCCCATTGCAGAGATAAGAAGCAAAGCTCAAAATAGCTAAGTACCCCAAGTCTGGACCCAGGACTAGAAACCAGGCATCTTAATTCCCAGTGCTAAGAATATGATGTTCCCAAGAGCTGTTGGCCTGTCGCATTCCAGATCTTCCTCACCTGACATGGCTAAAATGACTGGGCTGTAGCACAGAGCTACACCCTGGGAGGACCTAGACCAGGACCCTGGTCTCTGGCTCCCAGACCACCACTACAGTTGATACCTGGGAATCTAGAAGTGAGGGTGGTGGTACTTTAGCAGGAGCATTTCTCCGACCTGTATCTCTGCCTGCTGCCCACATCCCTGGGTTCGGGAGAGAGGGTACCTGCTGGAAGTACTTGTCCCCATTGATGTATTCCTTGTCATGGGAATCCTGCAGCCTGTTCGTCTTCACATACTGCCACAGGGCCTGGACAATGGCTGAGCGGCTCTGTGTGTGCAACCCCAGCAGCCGGGCCAGGCGGGGATCCAGTTTAAACTGGGGAGGCTGGGAAAAGGTGACCATGGAAATTAGAAGAGAGTGGGTGGGAAGAGCTCAGGACCAGGCAGCCTAGGACTGGGAGGCATGTGGCGACTAGGCTCCTTGGAAACATGCTTCTGGAGCAGGGGCAGGGGGAGAACGTGGCCTCTCAGGATGCACGGACCTGGTAGTCCAGCATGAGGAGCAGCGTGCAGCGCACACTCAGGTCCCCCGGCCTCTTCACCTGGAACCCGTCTGTCTCCTGGGTGGTGGGTGTTCGGTGCCACTGTCCAGGGAGAAGAGCTCGGTCAACTCACCTGGGCTGGCAGGGCCTGGGGCCCTAGGGTGGGCCACGATCCACATCTGTACAGCTGATGGGACTGAGCTCTAGATTCTTCAGGGACTGTGGTCTGGCGGAGGGGGCAAGTCTAGAGCAGAGGGCCTGGGTCTTACCTCAACGAGGTGGTTGTCAGGGCCATAGAGGTCTTTGTCCAGCTCAATGACCAAACTCTTGAAGAAGGAAGAGAACTTCCGCTTCTGCTTACTGGGCTGTGAGAGAGGAACAGGGACCGTGGGGGCAGAACAGGGACTGTGGGGGCAGAATGAGTTGGGCGTGGGTGGGGCTGGTTGGGTAGGGCAGCACAGTTAGAAGCAGGCCTCCGCACCCAAAGTGTCTGTAGGTCACCCACCCCTGGCCAGGGCTGACTCCCGAACCCTCAGTGCACGTGTCTATTCTCTCCTCAGCTCAGCCCCATACCCACCCCAGGACACCTGGAGAGACCTGGGCCAGGACGTACATCATCCAGGAGCTTCCCCTCCACCCGCAGCTCCCAGGAGGCAATGCTGCCATCAGAATCCTCAGCATCGGGTTTCGCAGGGTTAAAAGTATTGGAGATATAAAGACGCAACTTTCGCTTTTGCTGTAAAAATAAAGAGCATAGTATGCAGCGAACACGAGCTCCCGCCCCTGGGGCAACACCGCTTCTCCACGCTGGGAACGGGACCTAGAGCCCTCTTCCTGCCCCCATCCCAAGGCACCTTCATTGGCCTCTTCAGAGCCTCCTGGATGTCCACCCGCTTCCGCATGATGGTTTGATCCAGTTTCCTCTCAAACGCCAGGAGGTCCATATAAGCCTGGGACTCAGGGACCAGCTCCCGTATCTGGAAGAAGAGGAGCAGGGCAGGGAACCGGACTCAGCCATCTTGTAGGTGACATGTGCATGTGCTGTGGCTGGTCCCATGGTACAAAGGTGCAACTGTACGGGTATAAACGGGACTTCTCCCCAGGGCTCTGTAACCAGTAGTAAGGGCCTTGACCCTGGGGATAAATGCTGCTTGTCCCTCTAAGGAGACTGGCATTTCTGCACCAGGGGAGGCCGCAGCTACCATGGAACCCAGCAAGCACTAGGGCTTCACTTCATCTTGTCCTTTCCCTTGTTACATGGCCTGTGGGCTTCCCTGGGGTATCTGTAAAGTGGCTAGGACCCTGGGGACCCTGAGATGGAGATGTCACTGCTGGCTTGTCCCTGGCACTCCAACCAATGCCTCATCTGTGCTATCCCACACCCAGCTCAGCCTGCACCCCTGATTCTCTGTCCTTCTGGCCAGCTTCTGTTCCCTTCACTCCCCCTGACAGCCTCTGATCCCCTAGCTCTTGTCCCCTCTTTGTCCCTCGCCTTTATGTCTTCACCAGAATTCAGTCCACTGCATGCCAGGCCCAGTAGCCTATCCCCTATGGCTCTGCTTCTCTCCACCCACCACCTGCCTCTGGCCTGGGAGCCTCACTTCTTAACTAGCTTTTAAAACAAAAAGTGAAAGTGACTGTGGCGCTGAAGCTTGGTTCCTGAGGGGGGAGGGGAGGGCGGAGCAGCAAAGGGTTGGGGGTGGGCTGGGGGCTGCTGCAAAAGGCACTCACCCTTTGAGGGAGGATTTTGTCAGCCATCTTCCTCCTCTTGGCACTGTACATTTTTTAAAGAAAAAACCGGGTTACCATGGCGACAGATCTGGGAGTAACGAGGCCACCTGCTAAATTATCCCGACATCTCTGCCTGCCTGGCTGGGGTTCCCACAGCCCGCTCATCTGCCCGCCCAAGAGGCTATGATGGTGGTGCGTGGCAATGGAGTTCTGTCCCTTCACAGGGAGCAGAGGTGACCCCGTGCTTTCTCTAGCCTGGGAGCCTCTTCCTAATCCACCACATCCTCAGGGCCAGAGAAATTTAGACTTAAGGGGGGCCAAGGGTATGGGGCAGGAGATGCAGAAGTCTCTGGGGGAGAATTGGGGAGGGAGAATGGATTCTGAGGACCTTCCCTTTCTGATAAACTGGGGTGCACAGTCCAAGGTGGCCTGAGCTTAGAAGGAGGGGAACTGACAACCCCCATTCCTGGGGCAGTAGGTGATGACATGAAGCTGGGGAGGACTTGCACTCTGGCCACCCAGGCTTAGTACAAAGACACTGATGGGCAGGGGGTGCTCAGGCCCATGGCCCACCTGTCAATAGAGCCCTGGGATACATTCATAGGGATCCAGAGAGTGTGTGAGGGACGTTTTCCTGTGCGATGTGACTGCAGGCTGGACCTGGGGTAGCCGCTGCGACTTGGACCCTTCTTGACCCGCTAAAGAAAATGCTTTTCTCCCAAAAGCACCGCAGAAAATCCTTGGTGAGTTGAGATTAGAACCTAGCCTAAAGGGTGGCTCCGCACTGCCCCCTTGTGGTGTTCTCCACCACTGCCCCCTCGCTGTCCAAAAATCTATTATAAGGCTAGGCTAGCAACTTTCATTAAGGATCATTTGTTTTGAACAAATTATCTAAGTGAAACTCTCCGTTTAAACAAGATAAAATAGGGACTTGTTTACTGTATAAAAGGACGATTCATTTTGCAGAAGATTCATCATGGGATTCCTACAAATGGTGTATTTTCCTTGATGTGTAAAAAAATATTTAATAATGAGGTAAAATTCATAGTATGCCTTTTTTTAGGACTCCATCTGGTGTGCAAAGGGGAGCATTTGTGTTTGACTAACTAGTGAAACCCAAAGGGGCATCTCTCTTGCCAGGCGCCAGCAGGGACATTTGGGGTGCCACCAGCTGGCTCACACAAGGAAACGGGCTAGCCCCTGATGGCTTGGGGCCCACCTAGTCCAGAGGAAAGATTATGGCAGTCTTTCAACCTCTGGGTGCCTAAGAGCACAACCCGGCAGACACCACCCACAGGGCAAATTCACAGGCTCCACTCCCCTCACCAGAGATGTGGATTTAGAAGATGTGGAGTGGGGCTTTAAACAGTCCCACCAAAGGATTCCGAGGAAGGCGCACTGGACGGCCACACTTTGAGAAACACAGTCCCTAAAGCTCTGTCCTTAGCCCTACTGCCAGCCCCGCCCCCATCCCAAAGATTGAAGCATCACCCAGAACCTGGGGACACGGGTGGAGAGAGGGACGGAGCAGGTGACCAGGAGAAGGGCGCAGCGGCCGCAGCCTCAGTCTCTACAGTGGCACACAAAGGAACGAGACCAGTGCCCCGCAGCCCACCTCCCCCGAGGGCATCCCGCCCAGGACGATTCGCTCCCTGCTGATCATTCTTCCCTGCCCCTTCCACTCCCGCTCCTCGCCCACCCTGTCCCTGCGGGTCTTGTGGCCGCCCCCTCCGCGTTGGGCCCCACTCACCTGCGGCTCCGCGCGGGGGCGGTGGGCACCGGCTGGCCCTGGCTCTGGGCCTGGCTCTGGCCGGGCGGGGGCGCTGCTCGCTTGCGGGCGGGCTCCATGCCCGCGGGGGCCAGGCCGGGTCGCACGGCGGGGCTGCCCATGTACGGGGAGCCCGGGGGGCCCATGGGCGCCCCCTGGTGGGGCATCCGGGCTCCAGACGGCATCCCGGGGCGCTGGGCGGTGGGGGGAGGGCAGGGGTGAAGCAGAAACAGGCGCCCGCCGGTCAGACCCGGGCCTGGGCTCCAGGCGCGGTCAGCCGCGTCTCCCCCATCCCAAGCCCCGAGGCCGGTGACCCTGATGCCGCCGGCGTGCGCGAGAGGTGGGAGGGGCAGGGCCGCCGGAACCGCGCGGCTTTGGCGGAGGGCGCTTTGCGTCTCGCTGCAGGAAGCTAACTGAAGCCAGGCAACTGCACAGGTCATTGCCAGCCTCGGATTTGTGGAAGGTACCTCGAAAATGAATATTAATGGCGCCTTTCAACCTTTTCAAAGGATGTTCACATCCACACTCTCTTCTGCAAGACAGAATGATTGGGTCCTTCCATCCCCACTTGACAGATGAGACAACCGTGGCTCAAGGAGAAAAGCAACCTAGCCAAGGTCACACAGCTCCTCCTGGCACAAGGCTGCACCTAGCGGCGGTTTCCTGAGGGGCCAGGGCTTTTGAGCTCTGCTGCTTCATCTAGGTTAGGAACTGGGCTCCCGGCTCCAACTTCTGCCACCCATCTCCAGCCACTCCCCTCTGGGCCCCTGCTTTTGACCCCTCGGCCTTAACCCCCGCCCTCTTGGCAGATGTAGCCCATTCCCATAATTTGCTTCCAAGGTGAAGACTGGAGGTGGGACTGGAAGCAACCCGGCTGAGGTCAAACCCTGCCTGGATTCTCTGGTGAGGAGGCCCATGGGGAGCTGGGTCGGAGGTGAGCTGCCCCGAGGGTTTGGGCAGGTCAAGGCAGCAGCATTTCTTTTTACATTCATCCCTCCCTTCCTGTCTGCCCGGCTCACCAGAGATGGTCTCATCCTACCTCCCTCCTCTACTTCACACCCACCTGCCCCAGTGGGGTCAAAAGTCAGGGTTTAAGAGGTGGCATGGAGAGGGAAATGAGGCAGGTGTATTTCCTTGCCACTTCAGATTGGATGTAGATGAGATGCAAATTCAGAGTGAAGTGTTTCACAGACTTTTTAAACCCTACTTGGCCAGATTCCAGAAGTGGGTTTGGGGAGGGCCAGAGGGGCTGGAAATTGGAGGGTGGGTGGGATTGGGGCTGGGAGAGCAGGAAGGATTAGGGAGCAAGGAATGCAGACCCTGTGCCCCCGTTATCACTTAAACATTACCCACTTCACCCCCAGGGGTGCAGCAGGCCCTGGGCACAGGAGGAACCCTGACCCTGAGCTTGGTGACTCTGCCAACTCTCCCTGCTGTCGCTCCTGCACTATGTCTAACCCTAAGCCCCAGCCAGCCAGCTGTCTCTGCCCATCTCTCCCACAGTGCAACCTGCCTGTTCATGTGTCTGCCTTCCCCACCCCACCTGACCTTGTCACTCACACCTCCAGGGTGGCAGCCCAGAATGGAACACAGTCGCAGCCCCACCAGCACTGGGAATGGAGCTGTATGACTTGCAGACACCCCAAAACTGAAGCTCTAACTTGTCCAAATAAAAAATCCAAGTGTATAGTTCTCTAGAAGGGCCTTTTTAAAGGGATTCCACCAAGCAGCAAGGTACTGGCACCCCTGGAAAGCTACTCCAGAGATCCCTGGTGCTGGGAGACAGGCTGCCCCAGGGAAGCCCCTTTTCCCTATTAGCTGCTCTCCCATTTTTCAATACTCACTGATCTGATGAAGAAGCCCAGAGAGGGAGGATTTCAGAGCCCCCAGACAGCTGTGCCAGCCACCAGGGCCACCCAATGAAGGATCAAGATTCTAAGGACTCTGGCCTCCATCACTGAGAATGTGCCTTCCTTGGAGTCACAACCAAATTTGGCCATAACAAACCTGACTCCTTCCTCTATACCTGGCTCCAACCCCAGGACCTATCCCAAGTCCTGGAACCCTTGATGGTCCCATTCCACTCACCACCTGGCCCCTGCTGCCTCAGCCTGAGGTCCCATCCCCTTTGGTCACCCTAGGATTCCTCAGGCTCTTTGCATGCCTTCCAAGCATGCTTGTGACAGAATGGTACCACCCTGCCCCTTTGGTCTCTAGGCCTCAAGTCCCTGACTCCACCCCTTCCTTCACACCTTTGAGACATTAAGGATGTTAGCTTCCTGTGGCTGAGTCTGCCAAGGGGATCCTCAGACCCCTTAATTTGGGGTCTGCCCCTAGAGAGGGCCTCTCTCTGACCCTGATGGCAGAGACCATCAGCAAAGCCCCAGAATTCTATCGCTGGGATGCAGAGGTTGTTCAGCCAGAGAGCTTCCCACTCACAGTGCCTTCAGGGTCACCTGCTTCTTGCTCCAGAGACACAGACACTGTCCCAGGCATGAAAAGATAGCCCAGGTCTGACGAGGCCATGTCCCCCACCCCCACCCTCAGGGCAGGGGGTAATACCTGGGCCCAGGAGGAAAAGAATGGAAGACAACATCTGGTATAGAGGGGACCCCCCACTTGGGGGCAATCCCCAAGTCCCACCCGTAGCCCCTGACAAGAACCCATGCAAACGCCTCCCTTCCGCACCCCGGCACTCATCCCCAGCCGGCGCCTGACGACGTGTTCGGGTGCCAGGGTGCCAGCACAGCCCTGGGGCTGGGCCATGGGCCGTGGCGCCCCCGCTAGAGGGTTGGGAGACCGGGAGACCCTTCCCGGCCCCTCCCGATCATCCCTCCATTCAGTCTGAGCCAGCTCGCTCACCCTCCCCCGCTAACTTTCCCCCACTCACCACCCCATGGACCAGAAACTCAAAAAGTTTGCTTTTCGTGGCTTTGCGCGCCCCTCCGGCAACTTCGTCCGCGGCCATCGGGGTGGGCTCAGCGGCTCCTCTCACTCTCTCTCTCTCTTCCTCTTTCTTTCCCTTTTCTGCCTTTTTTTTCCCTCCAACTCTCCCCTCTGAGTCCTGCTGGGCTCTCTCACACTTCTACTCGAGCGGAGTGGGGAGGGGGCCCCTTCAGGGCTGCCCTGACGGCCCACGGCCCACGCCGCCGCCGCCCGCCCGCCGCCGCCGTCGCCGCCGCCGCGGCTGCCGCATTCCTGCACTGATAAGACAGAAATAGTCCGGCGGCCCGGGGTCTGCCTGTTGACTCGGCGGGGACAGAAAAGCCTGCTTTTCCAACCCTCGCTGTCCAAACAGCGCAGATAAGCGGCGACGCACGCCGGCAAGCCCGGCTCCTGGGCGCTGGGCAGAGGAGCTGCAGCCCGAGGCTGCCCAAGGGCCGCGGGGAGGCGGCGCGGGGAGGGAGGACGGGAGGGGAGGTGGCGGGGGGCTCGCCGGCCACCCGGGCTCTGGCCACAAATAGTTTCCCGGTTAGGGAATTCGCCGGCAGGGCCAGGCAGGGAACAGTCAGTTCCAACTTTCCCCCAAGTGGCTCCTGCTGCATTTCTGAGGCCCTTTCCCCAGAGACCTGGCAGGCCAAGTTGGGAAACATTCGCTGGAAGGAATCTGGGGGGAGCCGGAGCCGGAGAAGGCCTTCCTCCTGCGCGGGGCCAGCAGTGGTGGGTGTGCCCGGGAGGCGGTGTTCCCGTCCGTCCACAGATGTGTGCGCCCTTGTCTCGCCTGCCGTGTGTGTCTGCACCCTTGTGTGGGCAAGGCTCGGTGGCTGTGGGTGTGGATGTTTACGTGCGTGCACAGACAAATGCCTTCTCTGTATGCCTCCTCCAGGAGAGCCCCTAGTGCGTGTGTGCGCAGTGCGGGTGAGTGTGTGGCAGGACATGGCTTGTGTCTTCCAGCTCCGTGTGAGTCTATTTCGGGGTATGTGAGTCTTTGTTTGTCTCCATGCGAGAAAGTAAGGGCAATAGGGGAAGTATTTCGGAAAGAGGGAGGTGGATTGGGCTCAGGAGAACAGGAAGAGAAAATGTTAGGGAAGGCAAGGAGCTGGGGTGGGTGTTTGGGTGGAAGGGTGGAGAGAATGAGGCAAGCAGGGCCTGATGGCTTTGGAATGGGGTGTGGGGTGGGGTAGGGGACCCAGAGGAGCTGGGGCTGCTGGGTGTGGGAGGGCCGATCTCAAGACACTAAAGAAAGCAAGGGTAGGTGTGGGTTTTGAGGGAGCCCCGGAAGGGGGAGTGTGGAGGGAGCTGGTCGTCCCTGGGATGAAGGAGGGACAGGAAACAGGAGGCACAAATCCTGAGATCCCTAGGCTGGGAGCCCGGCCCCGCCCACGCTCTCAAAAGCCACACCCCTCTCTCCTCCTCCGGAGGAAGAGCCTGGGCTTTGGGACAACTGTGGGTCAAGCTTATGAGCCTCCTGCAACTGCACAGTCAGAATCTAGGTGAGAATGGGACGATGCTGGGAAGGGCTTGTTGGAAAACTTACTTGAAGTTAGATCCTGAAGACCCAGTGTTACACTGGAGGATCCTGACCCTCGACCTTTCAGAATGCCTTCAGAGGTCAGGACAAAGAACCAGGGGGAGTGTTCTGCCTAGGGAGTCTTTTTCACCTGCAGCCTGATTTCATGGGGCTCTGGTGTGCTCCTGGCAGTCACTGTTCATTTAGATGCCCACTATCAATCTTCTGCAAGGCCAGAGAGGGCATGTGGCCCAGCCTCTTCTCCAACTGACAGCGGTCCTGGAGATCTCTTCCTACAGAATCTCTATCTGGGTTTCACCCCAGACCCCCATACACAGAGACTGGGCCCTGGTGGGGTGGGAATGGGTGGATGGTTGCCATAGAGCATGAAGGTGGCTGCTGGTAACCTGGGGAAGTAATCTCTCCAGTCTGTTCACTAACCTCTCAAACCCCTCACTCATTCCCATTTCTAAGCCTCTGCTCCCTCCAGTCTTTTGCCTGGAATCACTTTACTGCTCCTCTGCCTGTCCAGATCACATTCATCCTTTAAAGCTCAGCTTAGGTACCACCTCCTCCAGGAAGGCTTCCCTGGTCCCACTCCTGTGCCCATATCTTTCTCTTCTCTGAATGCTCATTGCCATCTATCCTGTGCCATGAATTGGCACTTACCTGCCTAATGTCTGATATGCCCCATGTTCCATGTGTGTTAGGCTCGGTTTCCCAAATAGACTCTGAAGTCAGGGACTGGTCTTCAAGTCTCACTCTCCACCGGTGCCTGGACCCAGGGATTCATGAGCGAGTGCCTGCTAACACTTGCAACCACCCAAAGCTCAGTGGGCCAGTGGACAGAGCTGGGACTCTGCCACTTACCTGAAAGTGAGTCACCATGGATACCCCACCTGCTGTGGGTGCTTCTAGCGCAGACATGTGAAACCATAGACCTTGGAGGTTCAGGCATTCTGGGGCAGGGGCAGACACCTCTAGGCTTTGTGTAAAGCTCAGCTTTCTCAGCCCTTGCAGAGGTCTTTTGGGAAATGTTGGACAGCAGAGGAGGTGGATGGGCACCCCAGTGTGAGCAGCTGAGAAGTTCAAGGGCAAGGCTTGAAGGACAGTGGGAACACCCAGCCTTTGTGAGGGGATGGTCTTGGTGGAGGAGGAGACTGCAGGAGACGGTTAGACCAAGGGCCCTGGTGGTACCAGAGTTGCTGGTATTACTCAAGTCCATAGAAACCCCTTCCTGGGCCACCCCAGGACTAGGGCCTCTGTCTGCAGCCACCTCTCTGGGAGACATCCTTATGTGTGCACAGACAACAAATATATAAAGCATGCCTGTCAACCCCCCAAGCACATACACCAATGCAAAGGCCAGAGGAACAAGGAGAGCCACAATGATTTGCACACAGGCACACCTCGACCACCTCCACATCCCACTCACAAGGCCAGATTCACAAGGCACCCACCAGCAGACAGTCTGCACACTGCTTTTACAGGTGTGACCTTAGGTGTGCAGACACAGGGGGATCCTTCAGACAAGAAAGCAAATGCGCCAGTGTGGGTGTCCCGACCAAGGCTCCCACCTCACAAAGGCCAGGATCCCCAGTGGCTCAGCCTCAAAAGGGGGCTCAGCAATGCCAGCTGCAGGCTCCAGGGAAAGCTAAGATTCCAGTGCGCAGGGGCCTTCCTCTGGGCGGACTGGGTGTTTGGTCCCGAAAGGCTGAACCATTCCGTGCTCCGAGCGGGCCGTGCGCGTGTCCGGGCAGAGGGCGGCCGCCTGGCGGCCCGGAGCCGGAGTCCCCCCTGCCGTCCCCCCATCTCTCCTTTCCTCGCCGAAGCACCACCAGCACCAAATGGCAAAGCGCCTCTCCCCGCGCAGAGATGCGCCGCGGATGGCGGGACGGGCTCGGCGTCCCCACCCCCCCGCCGTCAACCGCGACCGCGCGGGCGGCGGCCAGCGCGGGGGGCACGTCCCGTCGGCGGCGGCCCTCCCTCGCCCTCCCGGCCCGGGCCTGCGCACTGCGGCCTCCCTCCCGGTGAAGGTCAGCCCTGGGCCTAGCGGCAGGACTCGGCGGCGGGAGGGGCGAGGGAGGGGGAGGCGGCGAGACTTAACTCCTTCCCTGCGGGAGGGCGGCCACCGAGGGGCGGCCGGGCCGAGGCCTGCTCCCCCCCCACGCCTCCCGCGGACGGCCCGTAGCGGGGACCCAGCTCAAGGGCGGAGGGGCGAGGGGTGGGTGGGAGAAGGCGGCTAGGAGGGGAGGAAGGGGCTGGGAACAGCAGGGGGGCAGGCGCGAAGGAACAAAGGAAACTAGGCTGAAGGAGAGACCTCTTTCTGCTGCCCCCTTTTCCCCCTACCCCCAGCAATAAAGCGTTCCATAGCGGAATGAAATCATTCTCACGGATTGGGGTATGTGTGTGTGCATGTGTGAGAGACAGACAGACGGACACACAGACAGAGGGAGAGAAAGAATGAAGTGAGACGCTGCGTTGTTCAGGCTGAGGACCCCTGATTTCTGTGTTCTAGCTCATTCCTAAGCCCAGCCCTCACTTTCTCCTCTGGTCACTAACCCCTCTGGGCAGCTCTGACCCAGCCTACTTGCCTGGCCTACTTGCCTGACTCACAGCTGGACACAAAGATTAACCCCAGCCCCCCAGAGACGTGTGGAGAGGACTCTGCACCCTAACTTCCACCTCTAGTGTGGGGCTCCTCCAGCTGGCAGACAGGACGTTGGCAGAGCAGACCAAGGGGCGTCACGGCACAGTCTTCCTCCTCCTGGCTACCCCACCGCACTGCCCAGACCAAAGCAGTACTGGGTCCCTCCCTTTTTGTCCCAGAATGTTTCTGTGCCCAGGACACCCATGCTACTATCAAGAGGGCCGTCTGTTTCTCTCTGACTTCGCCTTTCTGCATCAGTTTTACAAACACACACAAGAAAACAAATACAAGAGAAGAAAAAACGAAGAAGTAGGACACCTGATAAGCTGTGTGACCTTGGGCAAGTAGTTGCACCTCCTTGCCCCTCAGTTTCCTCATGAGGAGCATAGCCTCCCTGCCCTGAAATTCAAGGATTCCATAAGATAGAGACAGAAATCCAGACAGACTAGACAGGCCGGGTAGAGAGACAGAACAGGCCCACGCCAAGTAAGGGGTGCTAATACCCCACAGTGAAGCCTGGGCCCTTTCTCACACCCTCCTTTGAGCCTTCACCACTAGGCTGTCAGCCTCCTTCAAGCAGGGCAAGGCCTTGCCTTGAGGTCCCCAGGGTCCTATACAGTAAACAAATGCATGATAAAGATTAGCTGAAGGAGTAGCTCCTTCCTCTCTTTATCTGTCTAATGGGGCGCTCCTTGACCTGTCCCCCCACCCCACATACGTGGCACACACAATAACCTCTGAAACTGCTGGTCACCAGAGTGAAGAGTTTGGCCTCCAGGGCTCGAGCACCCACAGGCCCAGAGGGATGACATGCTTTGGATCCCAGCCAGTCCTCCCCTCACGGCCCTTGATCAGGTGGTCTTTAGAGTAGCTTGTGCCCAACAGCTTGTGCTGCTGTGCAAAACAAGCCACACTAGCCTGGTCCCATTTTGGGGAGTTTGGGGGTGGTGTGTATGTGGGATCCTGTGGGGTGCTCCAACTGTTCTATGGCCCTCCTGTTCTGTGGCCTAGGGGTGGAAGGCGGCATGGCTCTGCCTGCTGGGCAGCAGGTTCATGTCCCACAGAACCGGCCTCACTCTCCACCCGTCTCCCTCGGGGCCAACACCAGCCTGTCTGGCCAGGTTCAGGGGCAAAGCAAGAGGGATCAGTGGCCTCAGGCCCTCCAGGCTGTCAAGACTCCGCGCGGCAATAAGCCCCTCCTGCCTGCACTACCTCTTCACTGGCCCCAAACTTGCCTGGCTGG